TCTGTAGGAGATGGCAGGAGAAGTCAGCAGGGTGGAGACGGCAGTGTGATACTAGAGGCAGACTTTGGAGTGACACAGCTACAAGCCAAGAAGCGCCAAGGACCACCAGAGGACACTGGAAGCCAGAGGAGCGGTGGAAGGACCCTCCCCTGCAGGACCACAGGGAGGGGCCCTGTGCATACCTTGGTTTCAGGTGGTTTTGATCTCTGCACCTGTGAGAGAATAAATTGTTTCAAGCCTCCAAGTTTGTTTACAGTTTGTCTGTTAAGGATGGGAAAACAGTGCTTAACACTTGATTATCATATCTGCGAAGATCATGGCCTGTTTAGAGTTATCCCTGTTTTGAATTAGGGGGTTGTATAAGTCAGTGATAAAGTTGTTTTTATTAGAGAGTCAATAATTTACAGGAATAGAGTGGGATGAGGTGGCCCTGCTGGGTTTTGTTTGTTTTTAAATATAAGGGTGAAAAGGCTTTTTTTTAACTTTGTGTTTGTTTAATTTTCCTGGTGGCGGGGGAGTGTGGTGTCCAATGCCATCTGTGATTCCCCAGAGCCAGGGGTCAGTTTAGTTTCCAAGGCTTCCTCTGGGGTCATTTTCCCACCCTGAAGTGTGGACAGGACCACAAGGCTTTGTTTTGCAGCTTCCTGTCATTCTGTTTGATTTGCTCAGGTTTATTTGCATAGCTGAGTGAATGCACAAAGCCTTCTTTGTTTTATGGTTAACCAAGTGAGAACCAGATAACACTGAGGTTTAAGAGTCTGAATGCTGTGCAAAAGGGCTAGAATTGAAATAGATGTTGTTGGGTCAGAATGACTTTGTTGTATTTATTAGCTGGTCTCCGGAGATGCCTACCTACACCTATATGCTGGGAAGGACTTGGCCATTCGCTTGGCTTGCAGGAAAGGAGTCTGGGATTTCACAGCCCTGGAGCAGGGAGCAGGCCAGGAGGATTCCATGGGCACAGGACATAGTCCCGAGTTCCATAACAGTGGGCTTATGGACAGTGGCAGAGGACAGTCCTTATCTGGGCCAGTGAGCAGATTCTAAGAGGAAGAGGCTGCCTCTTCCTTCTCTTCACTTTTCCTGAATGGGTGGGCAGAGAACAGGAGGTCTGTGTGCCCCAAAGAGGTTCACATCCCAGTCCCTTCCCTGCAGATGTGATCAGATTGAGGACCTTGAGATGGGAGATCATCATGGACCACTGGGTGGATCCAATGTACTGGCAAGAGCCCTTAAAAGATGGAAGAGGGAAGCAAGAGAGAGACAATGAGATGTGAAGTGAAAGCAGAAATCAGTGCTGCAGTTGCTGATTTGGAACGGGGAGGAAGTGGCTGAGAGCCAAGGGATGCAGGTGGACCCTAGGTGTAGAGAAGGCAAGGAACTCCACTTTTCTGCAAGTCTCTAGCAGGAGTTCGGACTTACGAACACCTTCATTTGAGCACCATGACTCAAATGAACAGAATTCCAACCTGCAAAATTGAAAGATCATAAATTTGCCATGCAATATAGTTATTTGTTACAGCTGTGATAGGAGGCTAGTAAGCCATGCAATATAGTAAGCCATGCAATATTGTTATTTGTTACAGCTGTGATAGGAGGCTAGTACATCATTTCACATGCTGCCTCTCCAGCTGCCCTAGGTTGCTGAGGTACATTAGTGGAAAAAGTGGAACTGTGGCTTTCTAGACCTCTTCTAAGGAACTCTAAAATCCTAATTTCATAGATACTTTGTTTACTGTAAGTAACCATCGATGCCAGCAAAGTCTGCTTAGTTCTCAGTTCTGGGGCTTCTGGCTTCTCATAGAGATTTGTGATTTCATTCATTATCTTTAGATTACTCAACAAAACAAAACAAAAACAACCCAAAAAAATCAAGATTTGGAAGAAAATTCATTTATTAAGCTTATTGTTAACCTTTTTGAAGTTACTAACTTCTTTGAGACTTTATTGAAAACCATGGATCCTAGCTTGATAAAAATATGTGCCAAAAATTGTGTACATCTTAGAGATTATATAGATTTCCTCCAAAGATATCTCTTGAAGATCCATAGCTGCTAGGGACTTCTGTGTCACCCTAGGTGAAGAGCCTTGGAATTAAATAAGTCCATACAGATCAAAGGATTACTTTCCCAGCAAGGCTCCCACTGGGCTTTGCTGAGCTCTTCCATCAGGTTCAGAGGATCCTCCGTGTTTGTGCCCCCATATTTGTAAATTCACCTGCTCTCAAACATGTGTTTGTAGTCTCAGGATCCGGACTGTGTTTGTTAGAATCTGTGATCCCAAGGTCCAGACTCACAGCATTTTCGTGGGTGTTTGTGGACCTGAGCGGAGTGGAAAAAATTTGTATTGCCCAGTGCACATGTTCCAGCTGAGACTGAGCAAATCAGTGCTCCGCAGTGTGTCTCATACTGTAAGATCTCTTTAGTGCCACATTTTGTGCATTTCTATCACCAATAAAAATGGCCCCCAGGCGGAGGGTTGAAGTGCTGTCAGCATTTCTATATGCAAGAAGGCCATGCTGTGTCTTAAAGAGAGAACACTTGTGTTTGATAAGCTTCGTTCTATTTTGAGTTATTGTGCTATTTGCCATGAGTTAAATGGGATTCAATCAACAGCTTGTGATCAATAAACCTTCTTTAAACAGAAACACACATTAAACTATATTGTTTAGTTGATGGAAATGTTGACCAGAGGCTTGAAGGGACCAAACCCTGTATGTCCCCCAAGAACTGGTGACTTTGTAGAAGGGAACTACTGCAAATAACAAGACATGAATGTCTTTGCAAGTTGATGGCCTTTTCAGCTCTGCTGGTAACCAGCCTTTCTCTTTAAATCACATCTTAACTGCAATCTTTCCTGGAGAAATAGAGGAGTGGTCTCTGGCCTCATGGTCTGCCCCACCAGCCACCAGCCAGCTATCAGCCATGGCCGAGCCCCAGGGTACCCAGATGAGCCCTGTTTGGTGGGGGTGGCAGATCCTGCTGTAGGAGCCAGGTTCCTGCCCACTGCCCCCATGCCAGCTGGAGGAGAAAGAGGAGGGCACACACAGGCTGCGGAGCAGGTGGCTCTGGGCTACCAGGACTCGGCTGGGGCTGGGGCTGAGGCTGGGAAGAGAGGGGACTGTGACGCTGCTTCCAACCTGTTGGGATAGGTATAGTCTGAGGAGTACAGGAGTGCTGTAGGGGGACAGTTGAAAAGAATAAGAAATCAGGTCTGCCCTAGACAGGGTGGAACAGTGGCTTTTCTCAGCTGGAATGTCAGGACAGATAATGGCTAAAGTAAGGCTCATCCTTTAAATGCTTGTTGGGGCTTTCTGTGCTGGCCTGTCTTGGGTGGGCATCTGCAGAGACAGTACAGAGCGATGAGGGCCAAGTGTTCCCTATGCATCTGTGCTCGGGGCTGGGCACCGGGTCTGCTGTTTTCTGGAATTTCTTCTCCTTTCAACATTGAATCAGGGATCTTAGTTCCTCGTTGAAATTCCTGAACTCCAGGAGCTGAGCAGTCTACGGAAGACTTCTTTCTGAGGCTCGGAAGGACCAGGCAGAGAAGGAGCCCGCTGTTTCTTTTCTCACCTGGTTTTGTGATGATGCAGAAGTGCCTTCTGCCAGTTCAAGTTCTCGGCCTGAACGCCAGGGCTCCTCCAGGGCTGTGTGTGGAATTGGAAGGCTGGTTGTTCTTGGATGTGGGGACAAGTCAGCTTTCTTTTCATATTTTCTAACTGAGATTTGGCATTTCTTTCAATGACTAAGGTAAACAACAGAACCAGTTTGTCAAGGCTTTGCCACCAGTACAGATATTTTTACATGACAGGAAATCTCAAAACAGCATTTATTCCCATCACTAGTTTGACATTAAGTTGCTTAGTAGGTCCCCTTCTTTATTTTTGTTATTTAAGATGCTCATAATAAGGCATGTAGATTATTATACCATAACATTAAAAAGTTTTTATAACTACAGTCTGGTAAGATTGATATTCTTAGTAATCCTATGTATTTTGTGATTGGTTTTTGTTACAGCTTTATTGAGATATAATTCTTGTACCATACACTTGACCCATAAAATTAGTAACTCCATACTTACAGAGTTGTGCAGTATCACCAAAATCTAATTTTAGAACATTTTTGTCCCCCTTAAGAGAGACCCCAGAGTTATTAGTAATAACCCCAAACACCTATTCTTCCAGCCTCAGCCCCTGGCAACCATAAATCTATTTTCTGAATCTGTAAATTTGCCTGTTCTGGATATTTCATAGAGATGGAATATTTTTGTGGTCTTTTGTGACCGGCTTCTTTCATGTAGTGCGTTTTTGTGATGATTCGTTTAAAGCATTGCTTGGAGAAGGTGTCCACAGTCCTGCCCCTGCCCGTGGAATAGCTGGGGTCTTGTGGCATCCTGATGAAGGTCAGAGCTCCCTGCTTCTAAGGGGTCTTCTCTGGTCATTTTGCTTTCCGCTTTTGCTTTTGAGTAAGGCTGTGCCTTGGCATGGCACTGACAATCACTGCTAATGACCTAGCAGGCAAGGCCTGTAGCATGCCTTGTCACTCATGGGCCCCCCCCTCTTCATGTCCCCCAGGCAGAAGCAGGTCCCTTGGAGAGTTTTGTTCTCCTGTGGGTGAAACTTAGGAAGGAAAGACATCCCCAGTGGTGAGTGATGCCTCACCTGTTCTTCAGCAGGTGGAGTGGGATGTGGCCCAAGGTGCCTACTGCCAGCTGGAAATTGCAGCCTCAGCCCCTTTGGCCACCCTGGGGTGCACCACACCTTCCCCAGCGCCCAGGAAGCTGTCAGCACTTCAGAGAACAAGCCTTTGGGGAAGGTCTGAATCCCTGCAGCTCTGTGATTCTTGCAGGATAAACCCTCCAAGCATGGTGTTTGTGGGCCGAGCTATTGTCTGCGTTTTCTTTTTCGCGTGGGTGGGAATCAGCTTGGCAAGCGCAGTGTGAATGAACGGGCGTGAGCAGGAGCCGCTGCTGATGTCTGCTCTCCTGTGCTTCTCCCCCAGCTCCTGAAGAGAAGGAAGTCATTAAGGGACAGTATGGCAAGCTCACGGACGCTTACGGCTGCCTCGGGGAGCTCAGGTTAAAATCTGGTGAGTAGCGGCTTGGTGGGAGCAGCTGAGTGTCTCTTGTGCTCATTTGGGAGCGTAGAGTTAGGGCATTTGTTTTAACTACTTTATCTCGTACGATGTTTCCGTCTCGAAGCCTGCTTCTCCATGGGCTTCTCCATGGGGAGGAAGTTGAAGTGACAGACACCTGCTTGTCCCCTGTCTGGTGTGGAGGAGGATGTGGCTCCCAGCCCTGGGTGCCGATGAGGCTCATCTTTATTAGTCTCCAGGGCCTCAGTTTTTCTAAAGTGCTGACTGGGGCTTCTGCTCCAAAGGCTGTTTGTCTCGGGGGGTGGGGTCTGTACTTCCTCTCAGATGTGCCCAGGGAGTTGGACAAGGCCAGGAGACCAGGGAAGAAGCTGGAGACCACATCACAGGCTTCATGAGTGTGTCTGCAGTGGGAGCTGAACTGGGAGGGAGGAGGCACGGCCCGAGAGAAAAGGAGAAATGCACCCCATACCTGCTGTCCAGTGCCTAGTGTGGGAGTCAGGGGAGGAAAGAAAACTGCACTCAAACATTGGTGGCGAGGTCTGTGGAAAGGGGAGAGAGCACACCGGAAGACGTGCACATCCCTGCTCAGCCTGAGACTCCGGAGCTAAGTTGGTCACAGCCGCCTCTGCGCCAGCCACCTCTGCAGCTCCTGGGCCTCAGGCTCCAGGGCCCTCTGGTTCTGCAGTCGCTCTGTTTTTCCTCCTCCCCCAGACACCTGCTTCATGTGAGGCCTATTTGTGTCCTCAGTGTCCTGGCTGTGGAGGTCCCCAGGGGCCTTTGGGGCTGAGACTGGGGTCCAGGTCACATCCCTCATTCTTGGCCCTGCTCAGCTGATATGGAAATGGCTTTGAACTGTCCAAATTCAGGCCTGTGGGGCTTTTCCTACATCCGGGATATCAGAGATCAAGGGTTTCCAAAGCTGGCAGAATAGTGCTGTGTTTGTCACTACTACTTTTCTGGATCTTTTCTGTCATGGGGTGCTTTTTCCTAAGCTCTGATGATTACATCCATCATTTCCAAATAGGAAATGTTTCGGAAAAACCCTCACTGCTCACATGACAAAATGTACTTGTTAAATGTCTTTCTGTGCCAAAGACTAGATGAAGGTAAACTTTCTCAGTCTTAAAGATAAGCCCACATAGTGATGCATCTCTGTCCCCACGTGCAGTAAAGGAAATAGGCAGAGGGTCCCAGGGCTCACCTGGGTCCAAACCCACATCCGTATCCTGCTGCTTCCAAACACTTGCTTTTTCCATGCAAATATGCTCCCTGCCAACAGTCTGGACAGGGTTTGCCCTCCACAGTGAGCTTTCTGAGATTACAAAAGATTCCTATGGCCGTTGCCTTCCTCCATGATGACGGTAAGGATGATGCTAAGCTGGTTTCTCTGTGCTGTGTGTAGGTTTGAAGATTTTAATTTAATTCCACTCTCCCAGTGACTGAGGTCAGCACAGTTACCCTGCTCTGTACTTACTGAAAGGGACCCATCGGCAGCTTCTGCAACGTCCTCTGTCTGCCACAAAACAGCGTAATTCTCGGCACTCAGGATGGCTTATAGTCAAATCTTACAGTTATAGCTGGCAAGCTTTTTTGAGACATAAATGAATGATTCATTTTATATCTGACAGAGATTTGGATGCAGGGAAGGACAGTAACTGGCTCAAATTCACACTGATCTCAAGCCCTAACCTGGATTTTAAACTCATGCCAGATGGCCCAAGGGCCACTTCTACCACCCGGGCTGTCTGCCTTTCTAAGAGGGGCTGGCAACCAGCTTCCAAGGAGGACAGAAAGAGTCATGCTTGTCCTCTCCCAAGGGGCAGTGACTTTTCCTAGGGTGTGATCTAAGATCAGCAACCAGGAATTGTTCCCGACTGGGAGGGTGGCAGCACCCAAAGACATCATTAGAGTGAACCAGGGTATCTTGGGCTCCTGGTCTAGGGGCCGTACACACATTAGTAGACTATTGTAGGGGCAGGAAGTGTACAGAGGTAATTAACTCTGAGTTGCTCTGGCCAGACCAGCCAAGCTGAGTGCTTGGGTGTACACCCTGGCTGGAGCTTGGGCATGGTAAGAGATCATCATCGGGTCCCCAGCCCGATTTCTGATGTCCTCTAAGACCCCAACCCTCCTGCCAGATACCCTCCAGAGTGGGCTTTTAGAAGTTTCCCTGGATATGGTGAACATGTTTGATTTTTGGATGTCAGGATTCTTTGGCCTATTTGTAGCACATTCAGGAGAGTGCCCTGGGGTATCTGAAGGATGGAGATTGGGCATTCACATTGAGGTTTTGAAGTGGTTGGCTGTAACTTAATTTTCTACCCCCACTCCAAGTCCCTGACTCAAAACTCTGCTCTCTGTTGTGTCTTTCATTTTTCGAGCATATTGGGTAGTACTGTCATTCTACCTTTCAGCTACTTCTAGGATGACCAGCTGCATTGGAAGTGGCCTCTCTTTCGATATTTCAGGCTGAGAGTTTCTACAAAGAAAGAGGCTCCCCCCTCAGGCTCTTAATTTGGGACAAGTTGTTAACCTAGCTATATTAAAATAGGTTTTGCATTTGAAATTAAGAAACATGCACAAAAATAATGTGGAAGGAAATGGATTTTGGGGGAAATCATTTCCTTCCTTCCTGAAATGCCAGCTAGAAGGGCTTGGAGTCCCCATGATTAGCCAAGGAACTGGGCCTCCTGATGTATACCCAACACAAAGCATAGAAAGCGAGTATAGCATTAAAAATAATTTATTGCAACGATTATACGGACTTAACTGTTCTTTAACCCAAACTCTCAAGGTCTCTCTGCTTCCTAGCCTGAGGGACTCTACTCAAACCCCAGTCTATAATTAATTGTTTTTCCTGGAGTTACACAGTGTAAATTAGAGGGAGGAGGCCACTGGTTCTAGGTTATTGGACCAGACAAACCCTCTGCCCCTCCCAGGCATGGTCCAGGGCAGGAGTCCAGAGCCTCAGGACCATGTTCCTCTGTGCCACACGATGTCCAGGGTACACAGACATAGGGGTTCTGAGGGGATTAATTCCCAGATCCTCAGGTCTCCCCTGGAATTGATTCACCTAAGACCAAGCTCGTGTGAAAGGGCAGGTTGCTGTCCTCACTGTCCTCACCTCCTGTCCACCTTCTTCATGGTATGAAGGAAAGGCACCTCGCACTCACCTGGAATCTCCCCATGAGCCTCACTCAGAAGGTGACCACCTCTAGGATGCCATACAGAGGGACAACTCCAGACACTGTTGACAGTGCCAAGTTCAGCCATGTCAGCACCTCGGTACCAGTTTTGTTTGCAAGTAAGGGAACAGCCGATTGTTTGCTTCCATGAAACTGAAGAACTCAATGGGCGTGGCATCTGACACCACTGGAAATAATTTGTCAAAACATTTTTAAGGACTAACTCTGAAGGACTTTGAAGAGTTGAGTGACATTTCTATAATGAAGCTTTTTCTATTTTCCATTTATTAATGTGAAAAAGGTTGTATGCAAGATTACATGCACAAAATGAAAAACAGAACTAGAAGTTACACAGAATGTACTTCAATTCCACAATAAATAGCATTTATCCATGTCATTGAGATGCCATCCAAACACATTTTACTTTTAACATTTAGAGATTATTTTCCACAATGCTTTATTTACATTGCACTGCTTACATTGTTTGACCAACTGAATAGTAAAAATAATTGCAATGATAAACCAGAAGAAAGTCTTCTTATATAGTGAGTTTAGCAGCAAACTGCTGAATACTCTTTTAGGGTGATCAACAGAAAACAGAAATACAAAATATGGATGAAAGTTGGTCCTGAAGTCAGATGGAGAGATGGCTCAGAATTCCACCTGTGAAGGTGTCTTCGTGTGTTCCCTAAATAATAGACCGGGATGGGTATCCAGTCACTGTAGATTCCACTGGATACCAGTAAAGAAGACCATGATGCCTTATTTTTACCTGTCAATATGTAGAATTTGCTTGAAAGAATATTATTTTTAAACGACAGGTGAGAACTTGTCATTTTTTAAGTGAGCAAAAGGTGCTGTCTAGATCTGTTTGGCTGCTGTAGCTGAGTTCCCTAGGTAAGAACTGTGGCTTATGAACAACAGAAGTTTATTCCTCATAGCTCTGGAGGCCGCCAGTCCAAGAGCAAGAGGCTAGCAGGTTTGGTATCTGGGTAATGAGAGCTCACCTCCTGGTTCACAGATGATGCTTTCTCTGTGTCCTTGTGGGGTGGAAGAGGTGAGGGAGCTCTCTGGGGCTTCCTTAATAAAGGGCTGATCCATACACGAGGTCTCCAGTGTCATGGACCAGATTCCCCCCCGAGAACTCACCTTCTCATGCTGTCACGTGGGGGTGAGGACTTCAGTATGTGAATGTCAGGATGCCCTATTCAGTTACAGTGTGTATGTTGGCTGGCCTCATTCTTGAAAGGTACAGCAAGCCAAGCTGATTGAAAACTGCTGGATACCAGCAACAGAATATGGGCTTAAGGTGAATTCCACCTCCATATCACCATTCCAACACAGACTGGCGTGTGATTGGGCAGTGACTGAGCTCCCCCAGGGACAGTCACTATGTATGAAGTGGTGATGGTGGCCCTGCAAGAGCAGCATTGCTAGGCAGGTTGGTTCTACCACCTGCAAAATGTAGGAGGAGCACCAGCTCTGCAGCCAGACTTGGCCTCAGCAGCTTGTCCAAGAGATATGGCCAGAAAATAGGTTTGGATCCCAGGTCCCCAACGCTGTCACCTTGGGAAGGCCACTTAACCTCCCCACCTCCTTTCTCCCCACCCTGTGTACATGAGGTAATAATGGTGGCCTTGGGAGGATGAAGTGAGTGTGTGTGAAGTACCTAGAATGTGTAAGCGCTGTCCTCAGTTTGAGCTCTACAGAAGCACCTAGTAGCAACAGTCACTTGCCTGCATCCTCCTGAGCCCCAGGACTCAGGAGCCAGTTTCCTGTGATGGTGGCGCCTTCCCTTTTTCTCATTTGTCTTGCGTGCCTGCTGTAGCCCGGCCTTTCGAGCCTCCCCCAGGCCTCTGGCCTGTGCAGGAGATGCCTGCTGTCTTCCTGGCAGCCTGGGACTCGTGCCAGCCACTCGGGCCCCTACGCAGAGGCTGGTGAGGAGTAGGGTGAGAAATCCACTTCCTGATTTGGGTGGAAGGAGAGAAAGCAAAAATTTCCATTCCTCTTCTCAAACCCACTCCTTGCCTGTCCTTTGGCCATGCCAGGAGACTTTGCTGAATGGCGTGTTCCCCATCTGTCAGGAAGAGGGGAGCTGTGGACTTGTCCCAGCCAAGGCTGGAGCCTGTCTGCATCTTTGGAGCTGGGAGTCAAGAAGGCCAGCCACACCGAGACCCCACCCACCCTACCTGAGAAACTCAGCCCTGATTCCTGTTGCTGTGCCCAGCATGGCTTTCTTCATTGTTAGGTACACAATGGGCTCCTCATCACAGAAGTGGGAGCTGTAACAGGAACCAATAGTGTGGCTCTGCAGGTGCCTCACCACCCCACAGTGCATCAGCGGGCATGTAAGTCGTGACCCACTTATTCGATGCACTTTAATACAAACAGTCTTGGGCCAGGGATATGGCTCAGTGACACAAGCGCCTGCCTGGCAAGTACAAGGTCCTGAGTTCAATTCCCAGTACCTAAAAAGGAAAATAACCAGTCATTCTGTGCTGTGAGCCACATTCTTCCTCCTGTGAGGTGTGAGGAAGAAGTCTGGGGAGGTAGAGCTGGCTGTCTTTGGGTCTTTCATCCAAGCACAGAGAGATCTGAGGACATCTGAACTGTCACTCTAGATGGTGACCACTGGCTGTTTAGAGTAGATCTTGCTGGGAGAGGATTCCTAGACCTCAGAGTGTCCTCTGGGCAGAACCAGGCCATCTCTCAGACCCTGTCCTTTGATGCGCCGGCATCCCCCTGTTCCAGGGGCACAGCATCGCCATCCACTCCTAACACACAGCATAGTTGTGAAGCATTGTGTGGTAGGGGGCACAGAATAGAAAATGGGCAATGAGGGACAGTGTGGCAGTGTCCCGGAGGCTGTGCACCCTTCTCTGGGCAGCAGGCCAGTGTGGTCTGGGTAACCTGCACAGGAATTGGTTTCGGACACATTTATCAGACACCAGTGGTGCTGGAAGACAACAGTGACCCAGAATCCTTCCCTGAGGAGCCTGGACACAGGCTGAAGGGGGCGGTTGGTTTTGTATGTGACCAGTGCTGATGGGGAACTGTTGGCACATACAGGGACCCCAGGCGCTCTCTCTGGAAACCAGGGAAGGCTGGCAGGTGAGGGTGGGGGTGAGTTGGAGGGCTTAGGGTACAGATGTTGGGGAGGGCTGACGTCTGGAAGCTGTCAGCGCCAGAATCATCAGAGGATGCGTTAAAGCAGACTGCTGATCCTAGAGAGCTGGGCTAGGGGCAGACTCCCTGTTTCCAGCAGGTCCCTGCATTTGGTGCTGTTGTGAGCCAACACCCTCGGCGAACGTGACTGGGCTATAGAGCCCTAGGTTTAGGTGACTGGGCGCTAGAAACGCTGCGGGGTAGGACTGGTAAACCGAAGTCCCTTCAGCTCTTTTATCTGATTCCACTTGCAGGTGGTGCTTCTCTGAGTTTCCTGGTGTTGGTGACAGGCTGCACGTCGGTGGGCAGAATTCCAGATGCAGAAATCTACAAAATCACCGCCATCGAGTTTTACCCTCTGCAGGAGGAGGCCCGGGAGGAGGACCGCCTGCTCGCCCTGCGGAAGATCCTTAGCTCGGGGGTGTTTTATTTCGCATGGCCCAATGATGGCTCCCGCTTTGACCTGACTGTCCGGACGCAGAAGCAGGGAGATGACAGCTCGGAGTGGGGGAACTCCTTCTTCTGGTGAGGGCCCGGGTCCCCCAGAAGGCAGGCTGTGGGCGGCCGCTTGTCCTCGACTCTCATCTTACGTCAGCCCCCAGATTCTGCGTCACCTCTGGAGGGCTGAGATCCACACCTGCTCTCTCTGCAGGATGAGAGAGAAACTAACCTGAGTTCCATTCCCTGTGAGCTCAGGGAATGGGTTCAAGTCTTCTCTTACAGATTTAGAAAAGAAAATCTGCTCCTTAGAGAAAGAGCATTTGAGCGGGCATGTGCGAGTGCGTCCTCGCTGGCGCATGCTCAGTGCTTCTGCCTGGGCTAGCTCTTTGCGCGGCTCCAGAGCCCAGTTACCTGCTGGGTCCAATATATTCCCTGATGACATTTACAAAGCACTGTGCTTCAAGTACCAGTCTCAGCTCACTGGGGTGGTAACTCAAGAGTCCTCATACTAATCTATATAATAGAGTCTGTTATCCCATCTTACAGACAGAGAAACTGAGGCATGAAGGGTATGGGAATTTCACTGAACTCTACATGCAAGTGGCAGAGCCAGATTTTGAACCCAGGCATTCTAGCGCTAGAGTCCAGGCCGGTAATCACAAGCTAAACCAGGCCTGTCTCTAGGGAAATTGAGTCAGCATGCCCAAAGTAACTTGTAGGAACATAAACAGACAAGTCTGGCTGGGTTTCTGTATGTTTAGGGTCATCTGGCCTTCACTTCAGGTAAGGACATGGCTATAGTAGATGGCCCCATAAATGTGTAGTTATCTATGGGCTTTTCTGGGCCCTAAGGTCAAGACCCTGCCGTCCCCTGTAAAGGAGCTAAGAGGAGGCAGTGGTGATGTGGGACACAATGCAGGCCTGCTAGCCAATGTTGCTGCCCTCAGATCCCTGGGAGACAGAAGAGGAGCAACAGTGATGGGAATCTTGGTCCAGGCTGGATTTGGGGCTGGGAAGGAGGGAGCAACTGTGGAGGTACCAGGCACCCACTCCAGGGCATGGTGTTAGGGCTCCAGGCAGAGACCATAGAACTGCCCACAGCCCAGTCCCCAGCCAGAGTGGTCACAGGCTCCATCACCTCATCCACTGTATTGTGGTGCAGTGGCTGAGGTCTGGAGACCACAGCAGGAATCGGTGGGGTGTACACTGCAAGTGGCTAGTAAGTGCGGGAGAATGGGCAGCAGGGGGAGGTGATCTTCCCAGGCTGGTTGTCAGTCATACTAAAAGTTGTTTCCCGGGACACTCAAGTCCTAGCAACAAATGCAAAGCTCTGTGGTTCTTCCTAGATTCGGGTCTCTTCCTCCTGGGGTGTGAGCTGTTCCCCCCAGAGGATCAGGCGCATGTCACTAGAAGAGGTTACTTAGAGTTATCCATTTGGCACAAGGCTCCTCCCTCTGCCTTTTGGTGACAGAGACCCAAGCTGTTCTGGCAGATCTGGAATCTGGAGGCCTGGCCTTGATGCCACAGGCAGATTTAAAATTTTGTTAATAAAGTGGTTTAGAGTGACTCAGAAGGAGACATACTTGTGTGAAATTGTGCTTCATGGTCATCATTTTTCATGCAGAGGAGCCAGTGGCTGTGAGGAGTCGGTGGGAGCCAGGCTTCCTGCGGGGTGAAAGTGGCTATGGCCCCAGAGCAAAGGTTTTGGAGAAGCCCAGAGATCTGCCAGAACTCACAGCACACATTCCCAGCAATGAGAATGTGCTGCTGTCTTTGAGGAAGGCCAAGGGCAGGAATTGGGTTGCCTTTTTTTAAACAAGTAGGGCATTGTGATCTAGATTTGCTCCAGACTCTGTAGGAGAGAGTCCCCTGGTGACAGGCCTCAGAATCACACAGCTCGGGTCTCCAGGGTATGTTTGGGAGGCGGGGGCAGATGGCGAAGGGTGGGAGGGTCACATGACTATGTGTAAATGTAGGGCCTTCATCAAGAGGGGTTGGGCTGAGGAGCACCAGCTCTGCTCACAAGCCCTATGACCTTGGGCGAATGCTTTGCTTCCTATACCTTAGTGTCTTTATCTGTAAAATGGGTTTCTGTCATACCTTTCACGTGGGCTCCTGTCAAAGATGTAGTGAGTTAATCCACCTTCCAGGCATGGAGGATGGTTTGTGTGTGCTTGTACCTGTTGGCTGCTTTCACCGGCACTATCACGATGGACTCCAGAGCCTGGAATAGTCCTCCGGGTATGGGGAGGAAATACTGGGACTTCTATCAAACTTTATTTTTCTCTTGTCCATTTTTATTTATTTTGAATTGGCTTGTAATACTTTCATCATATTCACCCCACATGTGTGTATAAATGTATATAATTTAATTGTGTATATATTTAATAATTTTTAAATCATTTTTTATCATTTGGTCATGATTATTTAATCAAGACATGATTAAATTTTTTATTGATGGGTTCTAATAAAAAAATGTGGTACCCTCTAAACAGAAGCTCCTTTGAAATTCCCTGCAAGGTGCCTGCTCATGCTCTAGTTTTGCTTCTGTTTGCCCTTTTGGACAACCAGTGGTAGCTTTGGGAAAGGGCTTCCTCCTCTTTGCCCCTCTACACGTCACCGTGGCCCTGCCACTGGGGGCCTCTCTGAAGCACATGACTTCCTGGGTCTGCATGTCCCCACTGCAGAGTCCTGAGCAGAATGCCAGGTCCCCCACCAGTGCCTTATCCGTACTCATGTTGAGTGCAGTGTTTGCTGGAAATGCCGAGGCGACCCTGATCTGTGTGGGGCTTCATTTTGCAGGAACCAGCTATTGCACATGCCCCTGCGGCAGCACCAGGTGCGCTGCTGTGACTGGCTGCTGAAGGTCATCTGCGGCGTGGTGGCCATCCGCACAGTGTACGCCTCGCACAAGCAGGCCAAGGCCTGTCTCATCTCTCGCATCAGCTGTGAGCGCGCCGGTACTCGCTTCCACACCCGTGGCGTGAACGATGATGGCCACGTGTCCAACTTTGTGGAGACTGAGCAGGTGAGCCCAGGGCCACCCATGGCACTGAGTGGTTCTCAGGCACTGAAACGCATGCAGTTTTTCACTGGGAGCAAAAGGGACCCTGATGTATTGGGGACAGTTTCTGATCATAGCACTTTCCTGTGTATGTGTAATTGGGCTCTGCATGAAAAGTCTGGCTCAGGTTTGCATGGTTTTTGATTCACATCTCATGTTGCTTACCTCCGATGTTTTTAGTTGGAGTCAGAAGTAGTTGCTATGGTTGGGAAGGGTGACACTTATTCCAGAAGCAGCTAAAAGATGAACCAACAGGGCTTAAAAAATATTTTTAGGATGAAAAAGTACATCAATTCAATGGAACGATAGGAGAAGAAATGTTTATTCTAAACTAGCTCAAGCTTCATCCTAGAAGCAAGTGTGGGCACCTGGGAGCTGTGAAGTCAGCACTTTGAGCTCAGTTGCTTTTATCTCTCCTAGAGTGGGACTCCGCGTAATTCCTCATTAGTTTCCTTTCCTAACTTCTGTTCACTCCCAGAGAGCAGAGAGCAGTGTTACAACTGCTGTTGTGTTTGTTCTGAGTTGCACCCTGTGGGATACTGCCAGCTTGCAGAATTTCAACTGCAAGAAGAGGAAGCCCCAGAGAGGCACAGGTGTGACACCCCTGTAGGTGGCGAGCTGCAGACATCCCATGTGTGCTCAGTGCAGCTGTGGCTCTGCACCCGCTGTGGGAGGCACTCCCTGTGCAGACTCCAGCTGGTTTAATTCAGCACTGATCTGCACACCTGCCTCTACCCCGTGAGCTTCTGTGTACTTGGGCATTCAAAGGCAACTCATATCAGTGTGGGGCTCCATCTTGCAGGAACCAGCTATTAAAGACGCAAAGATGGGGAGGCTGTGCCAGGCAGAGTCAGGCAGGCATAGAGGGGACATGGAACAGGTGCCCTCGAACAAGCAGCAGGTGAAGTTATCTGTCAGTGACTCTGCTCACAGGGCTCACGCTCCTGAATAGTGACAAGGCTGTTAAATAAATGCCTGGTTAAAAATGAGAGGAGTGGGGACATAGCATCGGTAGAGTGTTCGCTTAGTTGCATGAGGCTTGGGTTCCATCCCCAGTACCACACAAAAAATAAATAGGAAGGAAGGAAAGGAATATACAGCCCCCCGGTGGAGGAGGTTTTTCCTAGCTATGTGAAGATTACTGCCATGGTGAAGATTATTGCCTTTACCTCATACGCACCACCTTCATGACCACTTCTCCAGCTGCACTTTTATCCTTCAGATACTCAGTACATCTGTATTGTCTATCACCTGCCACGAACTGGGTGCTGTGCTGAGAACAGGACTGAAGGAGCAAAGCGCGTCTGTACAAATCAGCATCTCAGAGCCTCTGATTCCAGACATCATCATGGGGCCCTGGAGGGAGGCTCTGAGTCCCAGCCTTCCTTCATTCTCCATCTAGTTAATAAGCTGGTTCCATCCATTGTATCTTCCAAGTGTGTCATCAGGGAAACAACTCCCCACTCCTTTCATATAAGATATGTCTGTGTGTATGTGTGTGTGTGTGTGTGTGTGTGTGTGTGTGTGTGTGTGTGTGTTTTCCTGCGGATTAAACCCAGGGCCTTCACACTGAGCTACATCTCCAGTTCTTTTTGTTTTTTTGAGATAGAGTCACTCTAAATTACTAATTAGCCCAGGCTGGGCTCAAACTTACAGTCCTGCCTTGGCTTCCCGCAGGTGTGTGCCACCACACCTGGCTGAGGTAGGACCTTCTAACATGGAATGTCAAAGTGGGCTGTGTGAGCTTCCTGAGGCTGTTGTAGTAAAGTACTATACATGCACTGGGTGGTTTAAAATCCCAGGCCTTTGTTCTCTGAGTTGTGGAGGCTGGGAATCTGAAATCAAGGTGTCGGGCAAGGTCATGTTCTCTTCAAAGCCCTAAGGAGAGGATTCTTTCTCCCCTCTTCCGATTTCTGGTAGCCTTGGGCTTGGGGCAGAATCACTCCAGGCTCTGCCTCTTCTGCCTGTTTGTCTCTGTCTTTCTAAGGACACTGTCATATTGAGTCAGGGGTCACCCTTCTTCATCCAGGATGGCCTCTCTTAAACTAATGACATTTGCAAGATACTATTTCCAAACAAGGTCACACTGTGGAGTGCTGGGGCTAGGATTTATCTGTGTTGGAAGGGACACAACCCAACCCATAACCAGTACATAATCCCATGTGAAAGGTCTGTGCCTTATGCAGTGCATCTGGCTTCGGAACATCCTCGTGATCTTCCCTTGCTCCACTTTCTGTAGACTAGCAGGCAATGCTACAGGCTCAAGCTGAGGCCTTTGCCCTGGCTTTTAATGATGTGTGCCAGGGACTGACATGTTTCTCTTGCTTTCCCAGTTAACTTATTAAGGCTCAGGAGCAGGGACCTTGCCCACAGCCCCTGAATCTCCTGTTTTGGGGGAACCCAGCAAGGCCTTAGAGATAAGAACAGCCTTCCCCAGCTCTTAGGCTACAGCCCTGTCTTAGTCTATTTTCTGTTGCTAATTACACAATACCTGGGTTAAGTGCTATGGTTTAGATCTACAATACCCCAGGCCCAAAGTCTCATGTGTTTGTGGGTGGAGCTTTTGCAAGGTAATTGGATCATGAGGGTGATATACTCATCAGTGGACTGATGACTTCCATTGATGAGTTCCCAGTTAAATACGTTCTTAGGAGGTAGGGCCTAGTTGGAGGAGGAGGGTTGCTGGGGGGCGTGCCTTTAGAGGGTGTTCTCTGTCTGTGGCTTTTCCTGCTTGCTCTGCTTCCTGGCTGCCATAGATTGAGCAGCTCTCTTCTGCCTTGCACTTCTACCGCACCTTGCAGCCAGCTGACTATGAACTGAATCCTCTGAAACTGTAAGTTAGATAAATCTCTCCTCCTTAAGTTGTGTGTGTCAGGTATTTTATCCTGGTAACAGGAAATTGACTAATACAGTAAGTCATAAAAAGTTTGTTTTTGACTCACAGCTCTGGTCCAAGGTTGAGGGGCCTCAGTCTAGTGACTTTTTTTCTTTTTCTCTTTCCAGTGCTGAGGATTAAACCCAGGGGCTTGAGCATGCTAGGCAAGTGCTGTACTGCTACTGTACATCCCCAGCTAAGTACTATACTGCTACTGTACATCCCCCCCCCTTTTTTTTAAGACAAGTTCTCCCTATACTGTTCAGGCTGGCCTTGAACTCACTATGTAGCTCACAGCAATTGAACTCACAACAGTTCTCTTGCCTCACTCTCCTGAGTGCTGGGATTACTGGCATGTGCCACCATACTGCAAATCTTTTTTTTGGCCCACCCCTTTCTATTTTTTTTTATTATTTTTTAGTCTCACTAAATTTCCCAGATTAGTCTCACATTTGCTATCTTCCTGCTTTAGCCTCCCAAGTAGCTGAGACTACAAGTTTGTGCCACTGTACCTGGCTTGGTGATAGCCATCTTACTGGCCGAGTCCTGTGGCACAAGGCATTGCTTGATGAGAGACAGGGACCACACAGGAGTCCTAGCCAGACTGTCATTTATTAACAAACCCACTTTCAAGATAACCCATTAGTCCATTAAGACAGAGCCCTAATCACTTCTTAATGGTCCCACCTGGCTCTACCTCTAAATACTGGTATCTCATATTGGGGATTAAATTTCAACATGAGTTTTGGAAGGGAAAACCTTAGCCTGATCATTGCTGGTTGAATTGTCTCCACCTCCCTTTCTTGAGATTAGGAGGAGTGATTTTCTTGACTTTCATAATACGCCTTTGAGGTCTTCCTAGTTTTTGTTTTCCGTCCCTTTTCCTCCTCTGAGCCAGGCAGTGCTGGGCTCTCTGTGAAGGGCAGTCGGACACCACCATCTGCTGTCCATCCAGAGACATGGGCAGCTGTAGAGACATGCCCCCTCCTGACTGAGGGGGTGTAACTTAACCCCACAGTGACTGTTTCCACTGGGCACGTCGAGCAGTCTTTTCTTGGAGACGTGCATATTTGAGGCTGCTCCTGATGGAGCACGTGGGAAGTGGGGATCCAGGCAGACTACTGTAATGCTGGGGAGCAGGCGACCACGTGGAGAAGGGTGTCACTTTGCAGAGGCGTGTCCACAGTTATCCTTGCTGGCAACCTGGAAATGAACCCTTGGCCACTTCAGCAGAGTCTGCAGAGTCTGCTGCTGATCCTGTTGGGCTCCAGTTCCATCCTGGGCATATGGGACATGGGTACAGCAGGAACAAGACTGCACTGTTCTAGCTGCCAGGGCACTTCCCATAGTCAGAGCTCAGCTGCTTGCCTGCAGCCTGCTGCTCTGGCCATGTGCTGATGCAGGTGCTTCTCATGATGTGTCTTGGCGATTAGCACCAGGTAGGGAGACTCTGCTCACTCTGCAGCCTTTGAGAAGCTTAGGGAGTAGCCCCAGCGAGGTGGTTCACTGCGAGCATGGGGACCTGCCTGGTAACCTAGCAGCTTGTCATTTAGGGCTGAAGTGGTATCATGGACATCAGGCTTGTCTTGCTGAAGCAGTATCATGGATATCGGGCTTGTCCTAGTGCCTTGGGTCTGAAGGGCCAGGAGTTGGGGCAGTGTGCACCATTGGGTACCTGTTTCCTGCCTTCTCTCATATGAACTAGCAGATTGTACAAGTTCTCTGGGGCCTTTAATTACAGGGGTTTGGTAGGTAGAGAATGTTGCTCCCTCTTCCACCTGACCTTGAAGAAATGGCAGGCACTGATTCTGGTCCTTGAGGACATCATTGCTGAGCTCACTGCTGAGCCGGGAAGGAGCTGTGCTAGGGCAGCATGGCCCTGGTGGCACCCACAAGCCACTGTTGGCTTGGGCTCTGCTGGGGAGGGGTCTACAGACAGACCAGAGGCCCTGAAGTAGGTGCTGGGGGCAGCCTGCTGGCCTTTGCAGGTATCATTAGGTGAATAGCTGTATGCAGAGAACAGAGTGGGGGCTCTCAGGAGACAAATTGGCTTCTCATGAGTTAATTCTCAAGGAGCCTGAGAATGAAGGGCCTTCAGCCCCCTCTGCTTCTGCCTTCTTTTAACATATTCTTCCCAGGAATGAACAATCTGCCTCCTCCTAGGCAGGCTGTGTGTGAATGTATGTGTTGTGGGTGGACACACATCTGTATGTGGTATGCGCATGTGCGTGCTCTGTGTATACTGTGTATACATTTGTGTTGCACCTGTCGTGCATGCATTACATGCTGTGCTGTATGTGTACACATGCATTTGTGTAGTGTACACGTACAAATACATGTTGTGTACATGCGTGGGTGGCATCTCTGGCTTCCTAGGAGGAAGCGTCGAGTCTTTTTGGCTCAGCTGTGAGTCATACCCAGTGGGCTTGCTCTGCAGCAGTGACTCACTGTGCAGAAAAACAAAACCAAAAAGTCCTTTAGTCAATCAAAAGATAAGAGATAAATATTTGACTATGGGAGATAAGGCTACTGAGTAACAGGGGGAGGGGATGAGAATGGTTGTGTTTCCTCCCAGGAGCACAGACTTGGAAGGGCTGGTTTGTTACTGCTGCATCTGGACATAGAGGCCCAGCAAAAAGCCTTTCTGATGGAAGTGTGTGCACACAGTTGGCGTGTTCTCCTGTTCTGTCCCTTTCTGTGTATGGCACTTTGGTTTCCAGGCTTCCTCCTTCCACAAAGGGCTCCTGTTAGGCTACGGCCCCCCATCTCCCTCCCCAGCTGGTCTGTTATTGGATTCCTTCCTGCCTCATTCCCTCATGGTCTAGTCCTATTTGCCTCGCATTCTGCCCCTACAGAACCCTCCTTTCTCGCTGGATGGGCTCATCCACAGTCTCAACAATTATGCTGTGCAGTGCCTACTCTGTGCTGAGTGCGTGCACCTTCACTCACACCCGGCACCCAGTGACATTAGCTCCATTCAGAGAGAGGGAAACTGACACTGGCCGTGCTCAGTAATGTCCTCGGGCCATCCCACTGGGCAGATGGGAGTTTGCAAAGTGGATTCGGTGCAGACTGGGCCCCTGGCAGCATGCTGCTCTCATATGCTTCACGCTCCATCCTGCTCTCATATGCTTCACGCTCCATCCTGCCTCCCTCCAGGGCCCTAAGTGAGCTCTGTGGAATGGGATCCATGACGTGAGACAAGACCTTCCCCCACCCCACGCACATTCTGGGAGGAATATGGAGCATCTCAGGTGCTGCTGGCCAGGTTAGGGGGCTGGCACAGTGGGACATGTCAACATAGAGGGGTTTCCTGGAGAGGGCAGAGGGGAGAACTTTGCTGCACCCTTTCCTCTTACCCCAGTGGGGAAGGGGGTCCTGTGTGCTTCTGGAACCTGGTTCTGAGCAGAACATGGCTCTGGAGGAACCAGGTCAGGTTAGGAGCAGTCCTGCAAGTGTGTGGTCTCTGAGTGAGGGTTGAGAGTTCCTAAGCTGGATCAGATCCTGAGCATCACTAACAGTTGTCTTCATATTCAAATGTTGACTGACTCGGTGTCTTTGGAATCTGGGCTCAGCTTTATGTCCTTCCCCTCACTGTAGCAACTATGCTGGCAGTGATGTCAACAAACTGCTATCCTGGTTTGGGTAGTGGAATAAAGGAGAGTGACACATGTGCTGGGAGTCCATACCTGGAAACACAGAGTGTTCTTAACCAAGCATCTTTTTCCTTTGGTGACAAAGGCTAAAATTACAACCCACAGCATAGACACTAGGTCTGTGTCATGCCTATGGTTTGGGGGCTCACAGGTCTCATTGTCACACCCTCCCCTAAAGAATTACTAATGCATGTGTGATCTGAGCATGATCTGGCCTGTAAGGGAGCAGGCTGGTAAGCAATGGAAAGGACTTACAGCGACGCCCCTGCCAGCCCCGCCAGGCCAGGGTAGGATTGCACAGATAAAGACTGGGCATCTGATAACCACGGCAGTCTTCCCCTGCTCAGGAGTGTACTTTCTGTCTTTAAAATGTCATTGGAAGCCTGCGGACACACTCTGAAGTAACCTGGGTGTGTGGGAGGGTATATTTTTTCAAAGCGTAAGTCTCATCTGTTTGTACACAGGGGCAGGACACTGGGAGCTTGTGGAAACTGTTGTGTGTGTTGCCTGAGTGGCGTGTTTAAGGACACAGTGGCACAGGGCCAGGACCAAGTTCAAGCTGAGTCTTGACTTGTGTTGTCAAATGTGAGACCGACAGGTGCAGTCAACTATGTCTTTTGGCTGTATTGCTCCTTGTTTGTTTGATTTCTTCAACCCTTTTCCAGTAGCTAGCTCCCTGCTACTTAGCTATTGGACAGGTGGAAATAGAGGGCACTGAGAAAGGTCTTGGTTAAATCCCAGAGCACATTTGTTTCTGTTCCCAAAGTGGAGAAGAGGAGGAGGTGCTGGGTTTTTCATGGAGCAGGGCAAAGTTGCGCCCTAGGAGTGTGCATTCCCACAGACCCTGGAAGGACAAGTCTGAGGGCCTCCAGCCCACCCCAGACCCCTCCTCAGAGGCTGGCCAGCAGCTACGTGCCCTGCCACCCGGCCAGTGCCATATGTGCTGGGGGAGAGCAGAGGGCGCCCAAGTCCACTGTCTGCCCTTCCTGACTGGTGTCGGGTCACAGGCACCAGATCCCATTACCAGCCCAGGACATTGGATTTCATTGAAGAATACCTTTCCCTTTCTGTTTCCTTGTGCTGCAGACGATTTACATGGATGATGGAGTCTCGTCTTTTGTCCAGATCAGAGGGTTGGTTCCGCTGTTTTGGGAACAGCCAGGGCTTCAGGTAGGTGATTTAAACAAACAGTCTTTTCTCTATGTTATTGCTCCTCTGCCCTCCAATAGCTGTGGTTTGTCTCTTTAAACATGTTTCCTGGTGGAGTTTCTGGTGTAGTCCCCCAGTCCAGTGTGTGGAGTCAAGCTGTCAAAGTGTGTGTGTGTGTGTGTGTGTGTGTGTGTGTGTGCGCGCGCGCGCATGTGTGTGTGTGTAGAGCATGCAGGCTGGTTTGCAGCGTTTGGGTGAACAAATACTAGTGTTCTCTGACCTGGGTAAGTGTGTGTGTCTGCTGAAGAAGGAGGCCACAGGGCATGCTAGGCTGTGATCAGTACACTGAGAATGGTTTTGAGAGCTGGGACTCTCACGGAGGCCTTCAGAAGGGTCACCGGGCCCTTGGTGACATGGGATGGTCTGGCCTTGGGTGGTGCCTGTGTGGAGCCACGTGAGGACCTCACAGAGTCTCCCTATGATTTCTAAAAATACCCAGTACAGTCTAAAGCAGAACTGTGGTCAGTGCCAGAGGAATTTGGCTTCTGCGTCCTGCAAAGAGTTCAGGGATAGGAATACTATCAAAGAACACACTTGTCATCAATGAAAGACATGTTACTCCCTGTGTGGGTTCTCTAGTGAAGCAGTCTCAGGCCTGGGGATTCCTCCCTCACACTAGTCTCCATCTTCTCCCCTGTCTTGAGGAAATGTGGTACCTTCAGAAAACCTCTCACCTGGGGCCTCTGTCATCTCTGGCTCTTCTTACCAAAGCCTCTCGTGTGACTGCAGTTGGGTCATCAGCCAGCGGCCGAAGAGGCCCAGGGTGCAGCATGCTAGGTTGTTAGGGGTGTCTGACACAGAAGGCCTCAGAGTTCCCAGCCTAGGGTTCAGCTTCTTAGCCCAGACCTAGAATTGTCCCTGTGCCTCTGGAAGGGGAGCCTCCGAGTCCCACAGCCGTTAGCTTGCTGTGTTGACAACCTGACATGTCAGCCTGTCAAGTGAGATGGATGGACTGAGTGTCTTGTGTAGCCTCAGTTCTGTGGAGAAAAAAAGGCTTTAGTAGCATGCAGTCTTCCCACTAGAAAGGAGCAACCCAGGTGTCCAAGGTAGCCAGAGGCATTGAAAGATAACACAGAGAAGTGTGCCTGAGCTTGCTTATACCTCCAAAAACTCCCCAAGAGCACTTTCTAAAGGAGGTTTTTATTTTTTTACCTTTATTGACCCATGCTATAAGCTGTACCCATGTAAAGCATACAACTCAGTGTTTCTCAGTGCATTTAGAGTTGTGTAACAAGCTCCGTAATCTAAAATTAGAGTGTTATTTTTCTTTCTTTCTTTCTTTCTTTCTGCAGTGCTGGGGATTGAACCCAGGCTTTCTACGTGCTAGGAAAGCATGTCAGCCCTCAGCTGCATCTCCAGACTGCAAGTTAGAGCTTTAGATCATTCTCATCACCGCTGGACGACTCCGTGCCGTTAATAGTCAGCCACCCTCCCAGCTCAGCCTCAGGTCTGAGCAGCACTTAGCTCACTTTCTGTCTCCGTAGAGATCATAGTCTGAACATTCCAAAAGAGTTTTGTAACAATTTTCTTTAAATTTGGAGTTTTCTTTCAGAAACGTCTTGAGCTCTGTATTTAAGAGGCTAAAAAGCATAGATCAAATGAATACAGTATAGAAAGCAATTAGGGAGACCACATATTTCTTGTAAAAAGTGTTAAAATTGAGGGGATGGTTGTGACAGAATCTTAGACTGTGAGAAGGATCTTTGAAACGCATCCATTTCATACTCCGTCTCAGCTCAGGGGTCAGGACTCAGAGGCCGTGTTCCAGGCCATGGCTATGGCTGTGCTGATTGTGCCAGGCTCTCTTTGTCCCGGGTTGCTGTCTCTCTGTTGTTGTCTGTCCAGGGTGTTCAGAGGGCCACAGGAGGAAGTCTGGCTCTTCTCCCCAAAGCTTGCCTGCAGTGCCTGCTAGAGTGGCCTCGTGGACCTCCCTCCGCCATTTGGCTTAGGCCTTCCAATGTCTTTGCTCTTCTTCTGTCCTATTTCTAGGACTTTTAATGTTTTTATCTCCCTTGTCTAAAAGACAAAACCGGTGGTCTCCAGCTTGACCTTGATAATGTCCCTGACACAGCCTTACTCGGCCGTGGAATGACTGCCTGAGTCAGACACCAACAAGGGTCATGAGGACATGCATCACCCAGCTTTTTAGCAGCTGCGTCACCTTTTAGAGTCCTCACACTCATGTTTCACCAAAGCCTCTGTGGTGTCTTCGAGCACAGTTTCGAAAAGCTTTAGTGTCCATTAATCTCATTAGGGATTTGCTAACCTTTGGGCCTAATCCTTGTGTTTATCTTCTAAATGCCATCTGTCATCAAAGAAGGATTAAGTCATTTTCAGAGGGGACCAGAAGGGCAACTTACATGGTGGGCTATCATTATCCAGCCTGAACTATCAGTATTAAGCTAAGGATGGGTTCTGGTTGGTTTGTTCTCCATTTTTGTCCTAAGTGAGGAAGGATGGAAAGCTCAGAGATTTTCGGGCAAATGGCTTACCTTCTAAGCTGCGAGGTGTGCCTTCTTGGGGGCTGCCCTAGAGAACATGAGCCCTGCCAGGGGTGGAGGCTGGGGTGGACAAAGAAGTCTGTGGGGCCATGATTAGTCTGTGTGTGCTCACAGGCATAGTGCCTTTGGTACAAACTCTTAAATCTTGATGGCAACCATGTACCTTTAATAATTTCATTTTTATCATGTAAAAAAGGACATGCAGTTTCTAAGTAGCCACAGTGAAATTTAATCTGAGATTCATTGCTCCCCTGGTATTGCTTGTTACAGTGTGTATTTACCGTCTCATTCATCTGCTGAAGACTTTGCTCCTCTGGCTGCTTCAGAATTTTCCTCCCTGTAAGCTGCATACACAGACACATGTCTTGCACATGTGATTTTTGTCTGTGCTTTGAAGTATCCCATGACAGAACCATGAGGAGGAGAGTCAGAGAGGATTGGGGCCTCTTAGCAGTATTCACCTTTCCCCTGTCACAACCTTTTCCTGAGTTCGTGGATGTGTGACAGTGCATGTGCTCAGTTGCATGTTTGTGACTGTCTTAGTTCCACAAAGGGTGTGAGATGGCTTGTGGTGTAGCAGTTTCCAGGAAAAAGTGGGTGAAGGAGAAACATACTCTGATGAGAATGAACCAAGGCCAGGGCCAGCACTGGCATGCACAGTGCCTGCTGTGGATCTGGGGAACTTGTGGGAAGCAGCCTCATATTTGTCCTGGACATCCTGACAGCCAGCATAGGAGGAACCAAGGTTGTGAGGCAGTTCTTATAGTCATTCAGAACACAAACCTTGAAACTTTATAGACCTGGGTTGAATTCAAAATCTGGTATGTCATTTAGTAATCATGTACTTTTGAGAAATTGTTATTTTTAGTAAGCCTTATCCTGTAAAGTTGGGTTGATTATACCTACCTCATGGGATTATAGAGAGGAATGAAGACCATGGTACATACTAGAATTTAGCAGAGTATCTCAAACCCAAAAAGTTTTCAAAATGATAGCTGTTTTAATAATAAATAAATTCTGACATGTGGAGACAAGCACAAGTCACATGGAAAGAATCATGGCCCTCTTTGTCCTGAGGATTTGTAAGATGTCCCCTATCTTCACGATGACAATGACATGTAGTGACACAGCCCAAGGACCAGTTTCCTCATGTGTCTCTGCCGTCCCTCACAGACTGATGGGAAATCAACAACCGCAGGCTGAGCCTCTCCTCTCACAGGCATTCATGGAGCTTCGGCCTGGTATATGGGACACACAGAGTCAGATATAGTCCCTCCCCCAAGGAGCAGGGGCACGGATGTGACAGAATCAACCTGCGACAGAGAAAGGCTGAAATCTAGTGGCAGGTCTTGGGAGGGGCGGCTGGCCCAGGCAGGGCCTGGGGTGGGGACAGCTGAGGATCTGGAAGGTCCCCTTCAGGATTCTTGTCTTTTCTGACAGGGAGTGGGCATGGGGAACCACGCTGGTAAGGGAGGCAGCCCCAGCAGAGGGAGCAGCAGGTATAACCCTGGATCATGGCACATCCAAGGAGTGGCAGTGGTTCAGTGCTTGGAGTGCTAGGCATGGGGATATGGGAGAGATGATACAGGAGATGGGGCAGGGGGCAGGGCAGGGTGGCTATGTATCTTACCGTAAGGGGTTTTCATTCCAGAGTTGGTCCCCAACTCTACTGAACATTAGAGTCACAGGGGGCTTTGAACATCCCAACCCCATCTATGCCGTAGCAGTTAAATCACAGTGACTAGGGGCAGGAGCCAGCAGCAGTACTCTGAAGACCTTGAGGTGATTCCAGTGTTCAGGAAAGCAGGGGGACTGCTCCACAGTGTACAGGTAAACTATGTTTCTTGGGGTTGGCTGGGGTGTGGGGAGCTTTGATTTAGAGCATTTGTCCACTCCTATAAACACATCAAGGCCACTTCCAGCCTGCCAGCTTGATATCTCTGAGCCTAAGCTGTGCCTCAGTCAGCTGGTGAGCCGGTAGGGGATGCTCCTGAGCACCCCGATTGAGCCCCCAGGTAGAAGCTACTGCAGGTAGAGTTGCTGCAGTCTGCAGGTGGGAGCAGTGAGTGCCAGGAGGGCCTGGAAATGGAGCTTGTGATTTTGGTCCCTCTTGAGCGAATGCTAGTAAGGCTTCTGCTGCGGCCCATAGTCAGGACTTCTCAAGACTTGGACCATTTGAATGGCCAGCTTCCTTAAGCTCAGTGTGTAGACTATAGGACCAAACAAATGGCTTCAGGGACCAGACGGGTAATCAGCCCTTTAGCAGGAAGAGGCCAGGGTGAAGATGAAGGGGAAGCTAAAAAAAATCAGTGCCGTCAGCTGCAGTGGGTCCAATGGAGATTTTATGGCATCCATTATGGCATCCAACTGCATTCTTTCCAGAGGCTTTTGACATAGGGTGACTTTAGGAGTAAGTGACCCCAGAAATGCAATGGAGCAGGCTAGGGGTAGAGTAAGGGTCAGCAGGATGGGGTGGGAGAGGCAGGGGGTGACCTGAGAAATCCTAAAGCGTTGTACAGGGGTGTTAAAAAAAGACCATTTCCTGAGAAATTGGGGCCTCCAGCTCTCCCCCATTACACACAAGGCCCCATCTGCTTTAGGGAATGGGGGATCCAGCCTGACGATACGATGCCCCAGAGGAGGACCTGTGACATGGCCCCACAGTGTGGACGTGGACCTGCAGCGGCACTCCTGCTGTCCCTCCACAGGCATTTGTCCCCTCAGCAAAAGAGGAATGAAGATGAGGACAGTCAAAGCCAGCACTGCCCAAGCAGAAGCAGGTGTGCAGGAGAGTCACCCGGACCTTGTGAGAGTGACACGCCTGGCCCAACCCTGGGGACTTTTTGGCTCAGCAGAGCTGGGCTGGGCCAGGGGATGTCCAGGAACCACACTTTGAGGACCACTGGCCTAGGCTCATTTTCCTTTCCACTCATTTCCTGCCTTAGCCGCTCCTCTGGGCACGGTGCCCTTGACTCCTGCATGTTCCCAGGTCAGTGTGTCGTCAGCAGTGATGGTGGGAGTGTGACCATGCTGATGACAGTGGAGTCTGTCCTGTCCCCATGAAATACATCTCAATCCAGCCCAACAGACAGGCAGAGGCCTCTGGAGATGTGGGCTCCAGTTCTGGCTCTGGGCTGTACCCTCTCCTGCCACTGGCTGCTGCTGAGTGCCCAGCTTCCTGTCTGCTTCTCCCCTCCCCTGAGTCCCCAAGGATGTGGTCAGTGGGGCTATAAATGGGGACAAGCCTCATGTCATGGTTTCTCTGCTGGCTCCCAGTGTGTGAAGGCACATCTCCACCAAATTAATTAGTCCTTGCTGTACAGACTTGTTTGGAACTTTTTGGTGCTTCTGGGCTTTCTATGGTGATCCTATATGGATAGGAATCATCCAAGGCAGGGGATTCAGTATCTCCACCTTGTTCCTTTCTTCCCATCGTACCCAGTGCCATGCTAACTTGGTGCTCCATAACTCAGCAATGGGTGATGTGGGTGGTCTTTATAATGGACGAGTTCCAGACCTGGGGACTGGGCACTGACACGTGCAGCAGGGTGTGCCTGCACTGTTTAAAGAAAGAGCTTTGGGGTGTGACTCAGAGACAGGCAGGTCTGTCCAGCACTGGAGCCTGTCACAACCAGGCCAGGCTTCTGAGTCTGGACTGATGGCTTTGTGTTCTCTCTCTCTCTCTTTTTTTTTTTTAGTTTTTATTTCTGTTAGTACATGTTTGCAATACAAAGCAGTGACATTCATCATGGGGAGTTGGTACATGTCCACAACACATGTTCTTTAATCCCTTTCCCCTCCCCTTTCCCCTCCATCTCTTGGTCCTCTTCCTTTTGCAAAAGATCTATCTCCATGTTTCCTATCACCTATCTTTTATAGTGCTCTTTAACTGATCTGTACTTTGGGTTTCTCATATAAATCAGATGATAGTTAAAGTTGTGTGTCTGATTTATTTCACTTCACATTATGGTCTCAGTGAATGCATTTTCCTACAAATGACTTAAATTTATCCTTCATTATGGCACTGTGTACTCCACTGTGTATAAACACCACACTTTCTTTATCCATTCATCTGTTGGTAGATGTATAGGCCATTTCCACGATCTAGCTATTATGAACTGTGTTGCTATAAACATGGATAGGCACATATCATTGTATGGCTTTAACTCTTTCAGGAAGATGCCTACAAGTGGAATATCTGGGTTGAATGGAATTTCTAGTTTTAGTTTTTTGAGCAGTATCAACCCTGATTTCCATAGTGGTTGTACTAGTTTACATTCTTACTAACAAGGTAGAAGGTTGCCTTTTTCCCCTGCACCCTCATCTGTGGAGATGCTTCTGAAACAGTTTCTGTCCTGTGACTGCGGACATTTCTTGCACTGCTGACGGAGGACATACACAGAACAGACAGCTTCTACCTGGACAACAGCCCCTGGTGATTTTGTAGCAGGCGGCTGAGGGGAGTGCAGATCCCCCACCACCATGTACCTGTGTGAGCCCAGAAGTGACAGAACTGACAGGTGGCAGTCTTTCCCATGCTACAGGGATAAGAATGTTTTTTGAATTAAGTGTCTGACATTTGCTCAGCCAGGCATCAGTGGCATTTGGGAAAAAGGACGCCAGGGAAAACCAAGGCAACAAAGTGAGGGTGTCCTGGCTGCGCCTTTCTTAAGAACTCTCGCTAATTCACAGCAAAGATGCCTCATTTCATACACTCACTTTCCTTCTGACCCAGGGCTCATGGATTTGGACTTTGTTGAATCCCTGGTGAGAATGCTGCCTATGTAATGCTGTGTCCTTCTAGGCACATGGTGTCCATCTGCCTCTCCATTGCTGATGTTAAGTTTGGTCACCAGTCAAGGGTCTACTCAGTTTTACCACTTGTCATTAATGTTTTTCCCTTCAACCCGTAAGCGCTCTAGAGCAAAACTCTGCGATCATGCCAGTACCTTGCTCCTCATCAAACTTTGAGTAAGACTCATCCACGGATGACTTTTGTATTCTTTGCTATGGTGTTTGTACAATAATTTCTCCACTCCCCACATTTATCAATAGATATTCTATGGTAAGAATGAGTCTTCCCTTCTTTCCCATACCCACTCATACACCAGCCCACACATCCATCATTGTTATCAGTGTAGATTAACAGATTCCTGTTTTATTAACTAGATTATAATCTACTATTGTCCTTATATTGTTTGATATTCAAGTTGCCTCCAGATTTGGCCAGTGAGAGCCCTCTTAAACTGGGTCTAGTAACAATATGTATTTGAAATGTTTTTTGTTCTTTAAATTTTTAATTTTTGGCTCGGAGGGGCATTCTTTATTTCAGTAAGCTACAAGTTTTAGTGAGAAAACAGAGTAATTAAAATAAGCCATGAGATCCCCAAAGGAGACATCAGAGTCCTCCAATGTATAGGGCTTGTCTGCGAGGTCTTCAAAAATTCTGCCAAGTCCAGAGTCTCCTCTGCTCATCCTTCATGGGCAGTCTCATCTAGAGAGCCTGTGTTGCCCAAAGTTCCTGAGTTCCTCAGATGCATCAAATTGACCCTCTGCTTTTACCATTTAGAATCTGGTCACGGAGGTAGAGGTTCAGACTGGCGTGGCACAGCACACAGGCCGCCTCGGTCAGGATGCACAGTGCAGGGCCGCAGGAGCATCACTGAGGTCCCCTGGCCTGGGACCCCTGTGCCTGCCCGGCCCAGGCTCGGCAACACTGTCCAGGGCAGCAGGCCGATGGCTGTGTAGTGCCCCAGCATCCACATGCTGCTCCAGTCTGTGGTTCCTCCCTTGAAATGCAGTTTTGAAAGTAAGTTGAGTATTAAACAGGTGGTTCTAAATATTAAGACAAGTTAGACAGGACAGTCCTTGTGAGGGTCCCTGGAGGAATACAGGGTGGAAAGCAGTTTCCCACCCCCTAGCTGGTTTGGCTGGAGAGTTTGGAGATCTGACACCTCCTTCTGCTCTTACCTGGAATTTTTCTTGTCTGTGGAAGGATTCCAGCTGGTAGAGGCAATGCTACGGTCAGGACTGGGCATCCGCAGAGCCAGACTTCAGTTGGGAGTACTGTTTGCAGAGTCCAGGGAGCATATAGTCCATACAGCCTGGCTGGCAATGGGAGAAAGAAGGGGGACACAGTCCTTCCTGGGCTTGCAGAGTGGAAGATTCACCAGTGTTGTCTCTCCTTGCTTTAGGTTGGCTCCCACCATCTGAGGCTCCATAGAGGCCTGGAGGCCAACGCCCCTGCTTTCGACAGGTAGGGATCCTAGGACACCGACTAAGCTGGGAGGACCCCAAACCTTAGATCTAAATCCACTTTTTCCTTTTACTTTATGCCTGGAAAGAGCTTACAGAATGGTGTGTTTTTTCACTTGCTCTGATTTCCCTGAATGTTAATTAATGTTCAGGTAGCAATGTATAATTATTATCAGTTATTTCTTGCAATGAATCTTCCTCCACTGGTATTTTTAATACAGAATAATCTAAGTTAAAAGATATTAGCAGCAGTTTTTGTCTGTAAAGTAATATATTCCTAGGTTTTAGAAAGTATAAAAATTTTTTTTTTTTTTTTTTTTTTTTGGTTTTTCTCCGGTACCGGGAACCGAACTCAAGACCTTGTGCTTCCCAGGCAGGCGCTTTGCCACTGAGCTAAATCCCCAGCCCCTAGAAAGTATAAAAATATTTAAAGTGAAAGAATGCCCTAATTCCTAAATTCCACACTTAAGATATTTTGTTAGTGGCAGTTTTTTTTTTTTGTTTATCTTAAACAAAAATTTCAGCATATATTATATATTTCATTTTTTAAAACACAAACTGAGCCAATCCTAGAATCCCAGCATTCAAAAGGCTGAGGCAGAAGGATGATGAGTTTAAGACCAACCCAGTCTACATAGTGAGACTCTGCCTCAAAAAGCACCACAAGTTGGATTACAGCATACTTATTGTTTTGTACCTGGCTTAAGAAAAACCATTACTGAGCTGAATTATTTGTAATCTGTACTTAAAATGGTTAATAACTTGTTAAAAGATTTGCTTTTTAAAACCATCTGAGTATAATAAAAATTCTCAAGAATAATTTTTTTCAGAACTGGGTGTGGTAGTGCATTCCTATAATACCAACACTTGGGAGGCTAAGGCAGGAGAATTGCCATGAGTTCAAGGCCAGCTTGGACTTTATAGGGAGTTCAAAGCCAGCCTGAAGATCTTGTCTCAAAAGAAAAATTTTTCTACCATATTTTAATCTTCCTACCTAAAGCTTTATTGGGTCTTTAAATTTGCTTGCATACTTTTTTTTGTTGAATACAGCACTGGGAACACAAGCCCAGCTGTAACTCCCTGATTAGCATCTTACAAATTACTGGGCATTTACTGTGATACATGTAATTTGGTAATGACAAAGCATTGCCTTTTCCCCAGAACACAATTAATATATTCTAAGCATGGTACACATGGAGTTCTTTTGGTTGCTCTATACTGAATGTCTTCAGGAAATAGTACACATAACTGAAAATGAAATTCTACCCATAGTTGACCCAAAACAAAGGGAAAGGGTCGCACTGGACTTGCTTCAAAAATCTTTATATGGGGCCCAGGGCCAGCCAGCAGTAGAGCACTTGCCTAACACACGCAAGGCCCTAGGGGATCAGCACCACAAAATGAAAACAAAAGGCGGCACCCTACATGTGACATTAAACAGGTTAGACAGGAGCACTGCCAGGTTTGAAGCCAGTCCAGACTGCATAGTGAGACCCTGTCTCAAAAAACCGAAACCAAATCAAAACAGGCAAACAAACAAATGCTCATGTATTTGTGAGTTTAAGCACATTTATGTAGACTTGGAGTATTTTATGATCCTGGAAATGCCTGGTGGGAATGACACATGTACCTGAGAGCAGGAGAACTCTTCTTTTTCATATGCACCCCAGAAGCTGCTTTGCCCCTTGGAAAGCTTCCCAAGTGTAAGGGTAAACTTAGACTCCTTTGCAAATCTTTGAAGAACTTGCTGAAGAACTTTACCACTGGGACTGCGCGAGCATCTGCTGCGCTAGTTTTGGCAGACAGGACATCTTTAATGCTTTTCAGTAGTGACACTTGACTAGCACTGTGAGTTTTGATGTTCCCTTGGGAGGAGCTGCCCAATGTCATGTTACGAAGGTTGGTCCTCTCATTTGAGAGTAGTATTTAGAAATGAAGGGCGGCGTCTGGCCTGGCCAACTGAATCTATTTCTCTAATCATGGCTGAGCTCTCAAGAATCTTTTGTTTTTTTGATGGACTTGGCCCAAGAAAATTCTTTCTTTTTCCACCCCAAAAGCCTCCACAGGACCCATCATAACCTGCAGAGTGCTCCTTCTCTGTCGAGTTAGTTTGGCACATTCTTGAGTTTATCTGGGCTGTCTGCAGTCATTCTTTCTACCTCTGTGCTGTGTGTCAGAGGAGGGGTTGGGAGCAGGCTTTTGGCTGTGGATGCTTGAGCAGGAGCTTGTCAACTCTCCCTGGTGATGAGTATCCATGGATGAGTGCTGACCTTTCTTGAGGATGGTGCCCACATCTCCTTCACAGGACAGTGATGTTCTTCTTTAGGTACTGCATCTCTCATTCTGCACAGCCGCTGTGCCTGGAATCATAACCTGTCTACTTTTGTTGTAGTTTGGGGTTGCCAGGGGGAACAACACAGGGCACATAATTTATAGGATTATTTTATGATAGTCACCCAAAGAGTCATATACGAAGAGAGTGTAGGAAATTTGTCCACACGCTAAAGACCAAAAGAATCCAGTTGAGGGACTGGAACCTACAGCAATGTCCTGCATGAGTCCAGCTGAAGACCTAGAGCCCATAACAGTGCCTCCCAAGAGTCCAACTGGAGGCTTCGAGCCCACAACAATGCCTCATGCAGGCCTGTTTCCGGATCTGTGCTGGGAAGGCCCAAAGGTCAGTGGTGGAAGCTAGAAAGTCTGTGCCAGCGGGATGAAGGATCTGTGCTAGCAGGCTGAGGGATCTGCACTGGAGCCAGGGAGCAACACTCCAAGTAAGAACCAGAGCTGCCCTGAAAAGTCCCACAGCCATCCTCAGCAACAGTGAGGTCTCAAGCTCCTCTGATGATAACAGCCCGGCTCTTGTCAGGAAAGCCAAGGTGACAAGCTTTTCTAGGAGTCTGAGCAGTGTACCATCTTCCCCTCTGGAGCCAGGAAGTGATGCACAAAGTGAGAATCAGAGCTCCCCCAAAGTGAAGCAGAGCCATTTTCAGTGATAGTAAGGTTTTGAGCTCCTTCAGTGATGAGAACAGCCGAGTTCATCAGGAAAGCCAGCATGACAAGCTCCTCCTAGAGATCCAAGTTTCCAACAGCACCCTACAGCTTCTAAACTTCTTTCTCTCCAGTTCTGCCTCTTATGCTTCTGGCAACAGTCTTCAGGTGGCCCTCCCACACCCAGCACCACACTTACTCCGTCCAGCTGGGTGTTACAAGTTATCAATCCACCGCATTAATGGTTGGTCCCTCCCTGAAAATGAGAGGCAGGATACTTCCCAATGGAAACCTAACTCCTCAAGGTCCTGAAACACTCCACATTTTCCCACTAACTTCCCATGAGAGCAACAGATGGGCAGAGAAAGTGAAAGGAAAGGCCCAACTGCCCAGGGAAACCAAGGCAGGAATGCGTCTTCATCTTGCTGACCTTGGTGTGGATGCCAGGTTCTCCCTTATGCACTGAGTTGGTGAAGTCTTTTATAACACAAGAAAATTATTTTTAAATTCACAGAAAGGAATGAAAACCAACACCCATGTGCTGAGCACTGTTTCATCCCTTTCATCTTTTTTCATCCTCTCTGCATGCCAGGCTGAGCCTGATTGTGCAAAGGAAGGAACCAGTGTGGAAGGGATGGCTCACCTGGTCCAGGGCTTGGGCCTGGTGATAGGATAAAGGACAGGAATAACAAGTAGTAATGTTTCTCTTCCAACCCTGTAATTTGGAGAAGTAGGTGAAGGGATCGGATGGAGATTAGACATTGGCCTCTTTTCTGATAAGCTGCCTTGCAAGGTGTGGCTTGGCTATGTGGCCATGGTGGGCTTGCTTCCTATGTCACATAGTGATGCTCAGAGCTGGCCATCACTAGGCAGAGCCTCACGGGCCAGAGCTCAGGCCAGGTGCTCCTTTCCCAGGCAGATCCCAGAAGGGCTGAGCCTCACGTGTTCCACTTCTTGCCTAGCTCTAGCAGAATTCCTCCCTGGAGAGACAGGAGCCTGGAGGGGCCCATGTTCACTGAGATCAGCCGCTCGGCAGGCAAGCCTAACTTGAAACTGCCCTCTTCAAAATTCATGTTCTTTCTGCTCTGTGTGCTAGCTATCAAAGTTAGTAAGAGAATTTTCTTCTCTTTTGGGCTAAAAATGGTGTGATCACATTTTCTTTTAAATTTCTCTTTCTAAAAGAAACCTGCCATGTAGACATTTAGAAAAGAAAAATGTTCAGAGCAGAAAAAGAATCTTTAAATCCTACAACATTCCATTGCTTTTAACATCATGGTATATTTCTTTCCAGGCTTCTTTTGTCTAAATTTAGGCGTAAAGACCTCACTGTTAAGTTACAGTTTTATGTCTGCTTTTTGCATTGTCTTTTCCCCGTTCTTCTATGTACTACATTTAAACATCTCTAACATTAAAATTACAAGATGACTTTTATCAAACTGGTGATGAGGATAAATATTGGAATTTCTCCCAGTGGCTCACCATGCACATTTAAAAATCATGTAGGCATACTTGTGGAGGGCCTGCAAGTTTTGCTGTGCCTTTTTGCTTTCGTTGAGCACTGGATCTGGTGGTGGTGCTTTGCAGAGGGGCCAGCACAGCCTTCATGAGCCATTCCCATCCTGGGTCTTTTATGCAAACCAGCCTTGACAGCCTGTTGTCATCAGCAGCATTTCCAGTGAGCAGGGGTGCTGGCTGAGGGAGAGTCATTTTCTCCACCCTGGGCTCATTTTCCACACCTCAGGCCAGCAACATGGCTGAGAAAGTGTCATCCTCCCTGCACATCTTCCCTGAGGCACCCATGACCAGGTGGCCGGTCTGGTTCTGGGTGCTCTGGTGTCACCGCCCACCCGCTGCCATTGCAGGCACATGGTGCTTCTGAAGGAGCAGTACGGGAAACAGGTGGTTGTGAACCTGCTGGGAAGCAGAGGCGGAGAGGAGGTGCTCAACAGGGCCTTCAAGGTAACCCCACTACCGGCGTCTCCACCCAGGTCTGGGCAGGTGGGGAGGGCGAGGTGGCCCCACTCAGGTGGGCTCCTGTGAGATCAAGGACAGCAGTCAGCCTTCCTGAAGTTTCAGAGGTTTCCCCAGGGCTTCAGCCAATTAACGTCTGCACCAGATGGGGAGAATTTGCTGAAAATCAGAACAAAGCTGCATTTTGCCAAGCCCCCTATGGGCAGGGAGGCCTTTGGCTTTCTCTGGAAGAGCTGCTCTGTCTAAAAAGGGAGAAGGTGGAGCCCAGTAGCAGGTTGTCACCTCCTGGGCCCTTCACACCAGTGCTGTAGGGGCTTCCTGCTTCGGCATTTCTGCGTCGGCCTCAGGGCCCTGCTCGGTTCGGAGCAGGGTGCTCTGTGGCCTCCTGCTGCTGCCTGGGTGGCCTGGCCTTTCAGTCCCTACTCTCATTTGAGCTGCCAGTGGAAGCTGGCTGCCAGCTGCTGGTGGGATCCTCCCACCTGCATGCCCAGTTCTGGGGAGGGTGAATCACAGGGTGAGGAAGCAGTCAGAGCAGGGGACTCCACCCAGGTCTCTCTGGGAGCTACCAGGCTGCCATGGAAGACCCCAGAATGAGTTGTGGGGCTTCCTCATTCCTTACCCAGGCTCCACTGGCCGCTCCTTAGTGGAGAAAGACCCTCTGGATGTTTGAAACTCAAAGAAGCCCGTATTGAGAGAACTCATAGCCACCTCGGCAGGGTTGAGGGCCAGCCCCTCCCGTTACTCTGACCCCTGACCCCTGGCTGGAGGAAGCATAGTCCAACTGGGGTGCTCATTTCACTCTGGGTAGAAAGAAGAGTCACGGACTTGGAGCAGGGACTTTCTGATTGTCAGTTTTATTTGGCCAGACCTGCTTTTCCTGTTTGGTTTGTTGCTATGAGCGACATGATCAAGAAACCTCTCCCTTCCCACCCATTTTGGCAGCAGTGTTCATGACTTATTTTAAGGCACAAAGTGGGGGGAAAACCCTTTTCCCTTTTCTGCCTTGAGTTACAGAGAAAGGATGTCCTCAGAAGCTCCTTCCCACCCCCAGCAGCTGGTGCCAATGTCCCTGGCACTAAAGTGAAGGTCTCTTTTGTAACCACAGGGCAGGAGGTGGCCTTGGGGCGGGGCACAGGTAGAGACAGTGTGCCAGGTGGAGACCGGGGTTATGCCCCTGATGAATGAGTCTCCTAACCAGACTGAGACTGTTGCTCTAGCTGCCAGCCTGGGCTCTGGTGGTTCTGTCTGCAGCTGGACAAGGTGCTGGTTCCAGAGCATATAAAGCTCTAAGCCACTGAGCATGCTGTTTAGTTCCACAAACTATTCCTAGGGAGACTTCCTTGACCATGCAGCATATGTAGATTTGCACTCTGGCCAGCTGAGATGACCTAGAGTCCTTATAGCCCTGCAGGGTCCCCAGAACCTCTGGCTGGGAGGGTGCTGCACTGATCTGCCCTGAAGCCACCGGCACAGTGTGTGGAAGCTCAGAGCTGGTGGCTGGGGAGCAGCTGGTCTGTCCTTGACACTGGTGTGCTTTGGTGAGAAGGCTGAGGAGTGGCTGAGCAGGGAAGCCCTATGTTGGAGGGAGGCCTCAGTGACAAGTGCCTGAAGCCATGAGCAGCCCCAGGCTGTGTTTCTCTGACAGTGCCCACCTTCACTGTGGCTCCTGGGCTGCACCTGGATGTGGGCCAGACTGGGCCCATGACTTTGGCTCCTGGTCTCCCTCATGCTGAGGCGTGACATCGCCATGCTGCTAGCCACCTTTGCCTGGAGACCTGGCCACTGTGGAGCCCACCCACCTGGGTCTGGTGCTTGTGAGGATGAGGCCAGTTACCAGGGCAACAGGGGCTGGATTATGAGCTCCCCAGTCTGCTCTGTGTCACTGTCCCTGATGGCCCAGGCACTTGGCCCACCTTCCTATACCTCTGCCCTCCAAGAGCCCTGCAGGAGTGGGATGTCTGCAGGAAGAAACCCCTGTGCTTGCCTCTTTTGCCCAATGGGGACCTTCTGCCCTTGTGCAGGCAAGATGCTCTTTGTGGCTTTCATACTTCCAGGACCTTTGTCAGGGTCAGGGCCAATCGGGCACCTGGTCTCCCATGCACCGTCCAGCTAACGTGCGCATTCTGGCAGGTGACTGGTTGGCCTTGAGAACACAAGCGGCAAGAGGTTTGCAGTCACTGCTTTGCCTTCTGTTGTCCCCCCACCACCCTCCCTCTCCCTTTTCAGAAGTTGCTCTGGGCTTCCTGCCACGCCGTTGACACGCCTATGATAAATTTTGACTTACATCAGTTTGCCAAAGGCGGGAAGCTAGAGAAATTGGAGAACCTGTTGAGGCCTCACTTAAAGCTGCACTGGGATGACTTTGATGTGTTCACGAAGGGCGAGAATGTAAGTCCACGGTGAGTCTCGCCCACACCCTTCATCTTCCGTGGAGGCAAGGAGCTCAGGAACTGCAGCACTCCTGAGCTAGGTGCCTCTTAAAGTCCCTGCCAGCTGCCCTGCTTCACCTGTAGTTTCCAGGATTGTGAGCTCAGTGGTGCTGGGCATCTGGATTCCAGCCTTCTCCTTTCCCTTCCTGTGGTCAGTGAATGACATGCTTCTGAATTTGGTGATTAGATGGTAAAATACAATTTTCTGGAAAATGGGACATCCTCGTGTAAAGGACCGTGTCAAAATGAAGAGCTCAGGGGACTGTGTAACAATAAGTTATGAACACTGTGATGAGGATTCATGAGAATGAGGGGAAATGGTCACCAGTCTTGGTGGGACAGCTGGAATAAACCACACACCCCCCCAAAGAAACTGAGCTGTGGATCACTGTTCAGAGCTGAGAGGAAAAGAAAGCCAGTGTGCTCAGATCACATGCAGTTGACCCTCATTATTTACAGGCCCCATGTTTGTGAGTTCACCTACTCTTTAAAACTGATGGTAGCCCCAGCATCTACTCACAGTGCTTTTGCAGTCATTCATAGGAACATGCAGAGCAGCAAAGATATGTCCTTGGTGAGGTCAGACGGTGACGCGTGGCCTTTGTATCTCAGTTCTCAGGCTGTCGACAAGTGTCCTTGTCACTGTTGAGTGCCATGTCTTTCACATTTTTGTGCTTTTTGTTGATTTCACTGTTTTAAAATGGCCTGCAAGCTTAGTACTGAGCATTTCTAAGCACAAGAAGGCTGTGCTATGCCTTCTGAAGAAAATGCAGGTTAGATAACCTGCATTTAGACTGGGTTTTGGTGCTGTTGGCCGTGAGTTTGGTGTTAATGACACAGTAGCCTACAGATGCTCTTGAATTTAAAATGAGGTTATGTCCTGATAAACCCCTTGTGTGTCAAAAATAGCATAAGTCAAAAATGCATTTAATATTCTTTTTAACCCATGGTAAAGTGAAACATTTCAGTTAACCACCCTAATTCTGTATATATTCGGTAACATGTCTTGAAACAGAAACACATGTAAAAGCAGCTGATGTATCGAGCAGTTGATGACACTGTTGTGACTAGAGGCCCGTAGGTATCTAGCATCACTTCCCCTTGAAGCCATGCATCAGTTTGCTAATTTAATGTTCATGCAACTATGAATTCCTGTGAATAACAAAAGCCAGCTGTATTTACAATGGCCAGGGCTGCCGGCACCTGGAGAGGTGGTTTGGGGTCTTCCTGCCACTTGTGCTGTACAGGGTCCCCTGGGATGTACCCCAGCATGCTGGTGGGTTGCTAGGGAGTAGGAAAGGGCTTTTCTCTTAGGAGAGACCAAGACTACAGCTGTTGCTCCTGTGAACTCATAACTGGCTCTATTTCTTGTTCCTAAGTTTCCAGAAAGGCACTCTGCGGATGAACTGTCTTGACTGCTTGGATAGAACCAACACTGTGCAGAGCTTCATTGCATTGGAGGTTTGTCCCTTGGGCCGTCTGTGTCATGCCTCACGCCTTCAGCAGAGCAGGCTGGGCCTTCAGTAGCAAGGTGGGGTGGCATCGCTAGGTTGCTTTTGCAGGTAATATTGATGTGTACGGCACCCGGGGAGGTCCCCTGGGTGGCTGTTGGCCTGTGCCGTCTTGGGCCTTTCCCTGTCACAGGCATATTCACACACTCACTGGGATGCATCCAGGACGGAGTGGCCCAAAGGCTCAGGAGTCCTTAAAAAGCAGTCCTTCTGTGCAGTGATTACCCTGAATATCCTGCTGGGCCAGGGCAGTGTGCAGTTGCTGAGGGTGGGGGGACTGCATCTGTCAGTGTGGCCCCAGCCGTCTGGTGACCTCTTAGCTCCACTGTGGGAGGAGGAAGTGAGGTGTACACCTCCTGCTTCCCCCTGCTGCTGGCTGCCCAGCAGTGGAGGGAGGCGGTCAGGTGTCTGTCAGAAGAGGGGGCTCATCTAAATGAAGCTGGGGGATTTGAGGGAAGCTACTTTCTGTGCTGCAAGAGCTCCTCTTTCTCTGAGGTATGTGAGGTCTTCAGGGCCTAGAGTGCCCACAGTCTGCTGAGTGACAGGCTCCCAAGGAGGTGCCTGTAGATGAACCCCTCAAGCTGTCAGTGGCCACTGTCCTTCATTTCTCCCCAGGTCCTTCATCTGCAACTCGAGAGCTTGAGGCTGAATTCGAAGCCCATTGTTGAGCGCTTCCTGGAGTCCTTCAAAGCCATGTGGTCCCTGAATGGGCACAGCCTGAGCAAAGTGTTCACGGGCAGCAGGGCCCTGGAGGGAAAAGCCAAGGTAAGAGCTGGCCAAGGGTGGCCGGAGGAGGGGCACGCCACAGTCCCCTGTCACACCTGTGGCTGGTTTCGTGCAGGTGGGGAAGCTAAAGGATGGCGCCCGGTCCATGTCTCGTACCATCCAGTCCAACTTCTTGGATGGGGTGAAGCAGGAGGCCATCAAACTGCTGCTGGTTGGAGATGTCTACAAGGAGGAGTCCACAGACAAAGGGAGGATGCTCCTGGACAACACAGCCCTTCTGGGTAACTCCTGCTGCTCTCCTTGCATGGGTATCTACTCCATGGGGTCCTTCCTGCTAGGGTGCAGGTGGTGGCACTGGGAGAGGTTAACCAGTCCCGATCTCCTAGTGTGTCATCCAAGACTGCAGGTGGCAGATATGCCTACAGCTTTTAGGCTTCTGGCCTGTGCTCTCCTAGCCTGACCAATTGTCCTCTACAGTCTGCAGTTGTCACTGTACAGAGTCACTGTCCGTTGGTGCCTGTGGGGAATTGATTCCAGGACCCCCATGGGTACCAAAAGTGGCAGATGCTCAAGTCCTTGATAGAAAATGGCATATCTCAGCGTAATAACTTTCATACATCCTCCCCTACACTTTAGACCATCTGCAGGTTACTGACCATACCTGATGCTATGTAAACGGTTGTTCTACTGTACTATTTCAGGGTAAATTGACAAGAAAAAGGTTTGTACATGGGAGCCTGCTTCGGGCCTTTTCTACTGTCTTGGCTTGGTCTATTTTCCATGCCAAGAGGAGCGAGGAATGGGGAGGGCTCTGAATCTGTGTGGTCCTGAGAGTATCGGTGTCTCTGAATGCTCACTCGCTCCAGAAACTTCCTGTGACCTGGGCTCCTGGTCCCCTTAACAGATATCATGCTGCTCAGGAGCTTCCTGTGGGACTGACCTGCTGTCCTTTGGCCCCTGAAGGCCCTGCAAAACAGGAGAGGACACTGTTGAATTCTGAGGGTCCGGGCACATTTGGACAGGAGCTCATCAATAGTTAGACATTTCTCTGGGGAAATTTTAATGGCGTCTTGTTCCTTGGGGCCTATGAACTTGATAGGTCTAAGGAAAAGGGGAAACCCAGCACTCCTCTGTAGATAAAAGTTTGTTAGAAATTTATGGTGTTATTGAAAGCGAAATGAGCCCATATTTGAAATGGTTTAATAGGTCTTCACTGCTCTCATCTCTCCATACTGGGGAGCACTTATTTGGCTTCTGATAGCCAAGTGGATGTTTGGTTTCTGCCCTGGGAATAATGCCAGCTCGGAAGGTTTCTGCCCTGGGAAAATGCCAGCTCGGAAAACACTGAACAAGCTCCAGGCGACCTAGTGAGGCTCACTCAGTGGCAGGACAGGGGGAACCTGGACTAAACAAGTTCAGAATGTCCTGGATCTCCAGAGGATGGAGATGATGTGGAATCTTGGTTTTTTAATGCCTTTCAGACATGTGGGATAGAAGGTAGGGAATGCAGTCAGGGGTTTTGGTTGGCAAGAGGTTTATAGTTATATATGTAGCTACATATACACACGTAATGAATGTTTGTGTGTGTTATTTATGTGGTGTCCCCGGTGCCTTTTCCTTCTACAGGATCATGAGGTGAATGCTGAGGATGAGGCTTTCTCACTATGTGTCTAGGGATTCCCTGTGACCTAATGTCACCTGACTTCTGACAGGCAGGCCTGTCGAGGGGAGGGTGTCTCTCCAGACCTGTGCTGTCACACCTTGATTGCAGAGAGGGCAGTGCAGTGGTTAATGGAGGTGTTCACCTCTTGTCACCCTCCCAGTGATACACGTTTTGGTCCATGACTACAGGCTTGTGAACCGTCTCTCTCTGACAGGTCACCCCTCCTGCAATTCTAAAATGACAGGGCGTCTGAGGCTTGGGCTGTAGAGAGACATGCCTTTTTATGCCTCCTCACAGTGACTCCCAGGATCCTGAAAGCCATGACAGAGCGACAGTCAGAATTCACAAACTTCAAGCGGATCCAAATTGCTGTGGGGACCTGGAATGTGAACGGAGGAAAACAGTTCCGGAGCAACCTCCTGGGGACAGCGGAGCTCACGGACTGGCTGCTCGATGCACCCCGGCTCTCTGGAGCCATGGACTTCAAGGGTGAGTGCGGCCACTCTGGTGACCTCCACATACACTGCCCAGCCAACCAGCCCCATCAGGTTTGGCCTTTTTCGTAGCTGTTGCTTTGCAGAATTTAGTATTTGACATTTTCACTCTTTGGAATGTTCACACTTGGGCTGGGGGTGTTTGTTTGTTTGTTTCTGGTACCGGAAATCGAACTCAGGACCTTGCACTTGCCAGGCAGGCACTTGTGCCGCTGAGCTATGTCCCCGGCCCTCAGGGTGGTGTAGCTTAGTGGTAGAACACCTACCTGGCATGCATGAGGCCTGGGGCTTGATCACTAGCAACACAGCCACACGGAGAAAGTTTGAAAGCCCAGTGCCCTTATCTGTAGTACTGTGTAGCGAGTGGCCCCTTTTCTTTTCCATGTGTTTGAAAGAGCTCGCTTTTCTCTTCACATGTAGACATGTGACAGTCTTAGGGTTGGGTCAGTAGTACCTAGTTGTCATCAGAAGACCTGGCCTCTAGAGCCAATGTGCTCTTAGGAGCTAGTTGGAGCCAAGCATGCACTTAATGCTGCTGCTGCTGCCTGAAAACTGGAACTCTGAAAGGCTCTGACATCTGAAACTTTTTGAGCAGCCATGTGACATCACAAGTGGAAAATTCCATTCCTGACCTGATGTGATGGCTCACAGTCAAGACACAAGTACACTGAAAATGTTGGATAAAGCCACACATGGTGGCGCAGCTGGGAGGCTGAGGCAGAAAGATCTCAAGTTGGAGTCTAGCCTGGGCAATATAGTGAGACCTTGTCACAAAATTAAAAAGGGCTGGAGATGTAGCTCAGTGTGAAGGCCCTAGAATAATTTCCCAGTAACAAACAAACAAACAAACAAACATTTTAAATTGCATTAAATTATTTATAGGCTATGTGTAAAAGTATATATAAAATAATGAATTTCACATTTGGAATGATAGCACATCTTCATGTATATACAAATATTCCTAAGTCTAAAACACTCATGGCCCAAACATTTTGGATAAGGGGTATTCACCCACTTTAAGTAGTCCTGAAAGAGCTCATGTGCCTTTTGTTTGTGTGTGTGTCTTTTGGTTTTGGTAGTACTGGGGGTTGAACCCAGGCCTTTGCTCTGAGCTGTATCCATACCCCATCACTCTTTTTCTTTTGAGACAGAGTGTTGCTAAATTGCCCACTTGCCCAAGTTAGGCTCACGTTTATGATTCTTTTGCATCAGCATCCCAGAATGCTGGGATTCCATGGTTGTGCCACCATGCCAGAATGCTAGAATTCATGTATTTTTTAAGAATAAACTAATCTTAGCCAGGAATGATGGTGCACGCCTGTAATCCTAGCACTCAGGAGGCTGAGGCAGGAGGATCGCCCTAAGTTCAAGGCCAACCTGGGCTACAAAGTGAGTTTAAGGCCAGCCTGAACTGTATAGTGAGACCCTATCTCTAAAAAAAAAAAAGAATAAACTAATTTTGAGTTTTGCCCCCTACCCTAACTTGTCCTACATCAAGATCCTGTTGAGTGGCCTCAGAATGCAGGTCTTGAAGAGTAAATGGTTTTGCCCAATGTTAACTTGGGGTCTTGGTCTTTTCTGTGTTCCTGGACTCGTGTCCAGGTTCTCTGCCTGGTGACAAGTGACTCATGGACCTGTGTGTGCAGTGGCCTGTGCTGCACATCCTCGCCTGCCGCACACACCGCCTTCCCCTCCTGTCTGCCTTGGGGAGGTAGCCAAGCCCGTGGCTCAGGGTCACTGGGTTCACCTGCCAGTGGTGACCTGCGCTGCCACCAGCAGTGCATCTGGAAGTCACTTGAAGGTCACCAGTGTGGAGCCTGACCCCACAGGCATTTTCCTCACATTTCCTGCTTTACACTCCGCAACTATCCCTTTTGTGGTGAGAGACACAGGTTCAGGGAGGTCCATAATGTGTCCCAACTTACCCAGGGAAGGGTTGTGTCTGGTGGAGGGTAGGGTTTGGGGGCTGGGTCCCCCAGCAGTCAGCTTGGATAGATTTCAGCAGTGAATAGTGTGGCTCGGAAGAGGGAAGTGGGGAGCCCTGTGAACCAGGCACATGAGCCTGGCAGTCCTGACTCCTTTTTTCTCCCGCCTTGTTCCCCAGACGACAGCAGCCCGGCTGACATGTTTGCTGTGGGCTTTGAGGAAATGGTGGAACTAAGTGCAGGGAATATTGTCAATGCCAGGTAAGGGGCCGGCCGGCAGGGCCCAGAATGTCCCCGAGCCGGGTGCCTGGCCAGGAGTGGCCCTGAGATGCTGCTAGAGCCAGCCTGCTCTGGATCCAGGGTCTGTGACCCTGACTCTGTGGGGACTTCAGAGAGGGCTCCTTGCCCACACTCACACAGATATGCTGCCCTGGTCCTCCTCCCCTGGTAACTAAGGACACAGAAGAAAGGGCCGGTTATTGTTGTCTTTTCTGTAAGGTGCTCTTGCTGGGGCTATGAATGCGGCTGATCCTTGCTGCCATGGGAAGCTGGTGTATGAGAGTGGAGCATGGGATGGGGCAGGCTGGAAGAGCAGCTGATTCATGTTTCCCGGGTGAGGAGGGTAAAGCTGAGCGCCAGGAGTAGCTACACCTCTTGTTCTTGCCAGTCACAAAGGAAAGACCCAAAACCACAGGATTAACATTCGCTGTAGTTAACAAGACCTATCCTCTCCCTAAACTGGCCCAATTTCATTCGAAGGAATTTTCTGAATAAATAATTAAAACTGACTCTTTGGAGCTCTTATAAGAAGGTTCTGTGCACTGACAGGGCCCAAGGAAAAGGCCCCTGTGATGTGTAAGACACAACCAAAAATATGTAGACAGTCCGCTGGAGGAAGCAGAGCATGATGTCAGAGGAGGAGCAGGCAGTAAGAAATCAGTTCTCTAAAAAAGATTGCTGAAGGCCTGGCGGGCTCAGTAGGTGGGACATGACACCTCCAGCTAACCGGAAGCAGCATCCTCCTCTCGCTTCTTTTCCAGTACCACCAACAGGAAGATGTGGGGTGAGCAGCTTCAGAAAGCCATCTCACGCTCTCATAGGTACATTCTCTTGACTTCGGCACAGCTGGTGGGCGTCTGTCTTTATATCTTTGTACGTCCGTACCATGTCCCGTTCATCAGGTAAGAGCATTTCATTTATAAGCATCTGGGGAATGAGGTGTTGTGCGTCTTTGTGTTTTGGGCTGTGACTTACCTGGGTGTGCACTCCTGCAGGGAATCGGGACCTGCCATTATTTTACATAAATGGAGCAAAACTTCCCAGGGGGAAAAAAAAGAGGCTGAATAGAACTTTGGCTAGCAATTAAAAAGCCACAGTGGAAAACTCCTAAGCCAGGAAGCTAACCTTGCTTAGGAAGAGTGGTCTGTGGTTTTCATCACCCTTCTGTGTAAGGAAAGGGTTTCTTGTCTGCGTTTTACAGACAGGAAACTTTTGACCCAGAACTGACTCAGTCATCAGGAAATGGCAATTCTTTTGTCTCCTTCCAAAAGAATTCTTAGTTGAACTTGTGTCATTTCATTATTATTTCTCCAAGGTAACAATAGTGAGAGTAAGAAAGGGGAAATGCATTCCTTTTAACAAAGGCTGTGTGTATGTGTGTGCTTTTGTGTGTGCATGTGCTTTTGTGTGTGTGTGTGTGTGTGTGTGTGTGTGTACAAGAGTGTATAAGATCCTGGAGGAGCCCACTGTTTCCCTCAACATTGAATAGCTTCCTATTTACTACTTGCTCTTGTTCATGGGTTTATTAAGGTTTCCCAGTGCTGATGCCAGGACATTAAGCAGACCTTCCTTCTAAGTCAAGTGGGACAAGACCCAGCGTGGTGCCTCTGTGTAGAAGGCCACCAGCACGCCTCATGGCATCCTTTGGCGAGCAAGACTGGGCTCCACATTCATAGTCCTTTTGTGTAACTATAAGGAAATAGTTAAGTCCCAGCCCCTCTGACTGCACTATTTCCCTGAAAATAAGACCTAACTAAGTAAAAAAAATGCCAGCCCCAATCAGCCTATCTTTGCCTTACCTGCCATTACAGAGTAGGCACCTGAGCAAGAGGTATAATCTGCTTGACACTGGCTGTCACCATGGTAATGACGAGTTATTAATTACAGCTGAAGTTTATTGTCCCAGTAGGTCTTATTTTCAGGAAACACAGTGTTCCTAGGGCAGCTCATCTATACCCTGGGTTAGTGGGTACAGGTTAGTTTATTAAGGTCAGGGTAAAGGTTAGAGGTAAACTGGGAGGGAAGACTCCCATTTCCAGGCGTGGCCTGAGGTCTCACCACCTGTGACCTTGTCTCCCTGCTCCAGCTGGTTTAAAAGTTCACACCCCTTTGGCAAACTGTCACCTTCACCTGTCTCCTGGGAAGCAGGTGTCCCAGGAGCCTCCTCCACCCTCGCTGGCACCTCATGGAAGCATTAAGCAGTTGGCTTGTGCTCAGTGGCTCTAGGTCCTTCACACTCATTGTGTGATGTGTACTTTCCGAGTTGCCGTTTTAATGAGTGCAGGAGTCTGTGATGCAGGAAAGCTGGTTTGAGATCGTCTGCCCAGGCCGGCCAAGATGACGGGCTGTTTCCTAATTCTGAAATGCATTCGTTGCCCAATGGTTCCTCCTGTGCTATGCACAAGGTCTATGGCATGGACTGGGGGGACAGTGGAGCTCCCGCTGTTCCTGCTAGTGGGAAGGCTGGGGGCAGATGCAGGGACCATGTATCTGCAGTGTTGTGGGTGCTTGTGGGGTACAAAGCCAAGCCACAGGAAAGATGCTCCACACCCCCATGACAGGGAGCAGCCAGCAGGGAGAAGGAGCAGCCTCCTGACCTTGGGTCAGTGACAGCCTCGTGGGGCACTGCGTCCTCAGCTGCAGAAGATGTGGTTAAAGAAACCTCTCAGCCAAGATTCAGGGGTCTTGGAGCACAGGTCTCAGGCTGCTCCTGGATTCTTCTCTGGCAAAAGAGCCTTATGCTTTTCTGCAGCTCACAGGACGTACACGTTCTTCTGTTGCAGGGACGTAGCTATCGACACAGTGAAGACCGGCATGGGGGGCAAGGCAGGAAACAAGGGTGCCGTGGGCATCCGCTTTCAGTTCCACAGCACCAGCTTCTGCTTCATCTGCAGCCACCTGACGGCCGGGCAGTCGCAGGTGAAGGAGAGGAACGAGGACTACAGGGAGATCACCCACAGGCTGTCCTTCCCCGCGGTGAGCAGAGCTGCTGAGGGAGCCAGACCTGGGGGATGTGACCACAAGTCAAGTCCCTGCCCCTGAGGGGACAGGGCTGGTTGGGGACAGATGCAGCGTTGTCCCTGGAAACCACCTGTCCTGTGATAGAGCGACACCTGGAGGAGCCCAGCCCTTTGGTTTTCTGCCCTTTCCCCTCAATCTCCTGGGGGGCCTTAAGCACCCTAAGTTGTCTCAGGTGCATTTTCATGATTTTCTAATTCAGGTGGTGGAATAGGGGAGAGAAGAATATTTATATCTGAATAGTACAAGCTTACGTTTTCTTGAGGATACGGGTGCAGCTCGGCGATGAATGTATGGTTAGCATGCATGAGGCCCTAGTTTCAATCCCCATCACCAAAAGAGAATAAGGATTTAATTTTCTTGAGATCTGTAATCTCTGCACTTGTGTTGTGGTTCAAAGAATTCTTCCTTTTTTGAATCAGGAAATCCTGACTGAAGATCTGGAGCCCATTTCTAGCCTGACATCGCAAATAATATATGCCAGGCTGCCCTCTAGTGGTAACTTGGAGGTTTTTCATGCCAAAGCCTGTGGACGTAATTTTAAAATTTAGCTCTTAATGTACTTCCCATGCAAAGATGATTTCCTGCACACCTTCAGCCTGGTGCCCACCCCCCTTCACCTCCTGTACCCCAGAGGGAGGGCTGTTCACTTTTCTTGCCACAGCTCTTCCAGAGTCTGAGAAGGGCTGGCTGGGTCCTGGAGCTCATCTCCGTGAGATCAGGACTGTTGAAACAGATGCTGTATCAATGGGTGGCACACGTGTGCAAGGCGGAAATTTCATTTTGTTAAGTGTCCTGATCTTTGCATCTTTTTATTTCTCGAGTTAAAGAGGAAACAAATGAGTTGGGAAATTTTCAATTTTTGTATGTAGCTAAAAAGTCCAACCCTTTTCACTTGAAAAGTGCTATTTTGAAATAATAACTACTAAGAATTAAAGAGTTCACAATAGGACATATATATCTATATACTGTATGTTGATGGTACCTATAAGTTAATACTCCATACAAGTGCCCAGTGCAATAGCCGCTGACTGCAAGGAGCTATTTAAATTAAATGAAATCACCTGCACTGGCTGCAGTGCAAGTTTTCAGCACTCAGTGGCCCGCACAGGAAGTGTTTCTACCTCTGGAGGAAGTTCCTCTGGTTGTCTACACACTCACTTTATTTGGTTGTGGCTGTCTTCGTCCTCTATTCAGATTATCTTTATGGGATGAGGGAAGAGGCACATCACGTGGTGAGGGGACAGAAATGGGTGTTGGCTCTAAACAGATCTGGGTTCAAATCTCATCTTTATCAGCACTAGCTGTGCACCCTTTAGTAAGTTGCACTGATTCTGAATTTTTTGTTTAGAGCCAGGAGTACCTGCCCCACGGGGGGGGGGCTGCTGCGGCGACCACACAACTTTCCCTGAGGAGAGTTGATGGCCAGCCACTGTTGTCATGGAGACCCGGTGGGGTGGAGAATTTTCCAGGGCTGAGCAGGGGACTGTGGGCTCGTGGTGACAGGGCAGGCTTAGGAGGAAGGTGGGGTTGCTGAGGGAGAGTCATAGAACACAATCCATGCAGTTTTCAAAGCTGCGTGTTCTCCTGTTTCTGCTGCTTTGCTTACGCCTAGTTCTCATGATGCTGGCTGTGTGTGGGTTTCCTAGGACACAGGCTGGTCCTCGGGATCAGAATCGGTAATTGTACCTCTCAGTGAGAGTCAGAGCTTTGTCCCAACCACTCCAGAACACAACTATTGAAAGCCGAGCAGCAGACCATGGGGTTAGTGACAAGTGAGGATGCGCTAGTGGAAAACTTAATGGTAATGTTTTAAGAAAAATGCTCTGCTTGTCTTCTGTCTGGTGAAATTTGCTTTTCTCCCCTCTCCCACCTTCCCCAAAGGTGGGCTCGAATGATTGTGATTTTCTTTACAATTCAGGGGAGAAATGTGTTTTCTCACGATTATGTGTTTTGGTGCGGTGATTTCAACTACCGCATTGATCTCACTTACGAGGAAGTCTTCTATTTTGTTAAACGCCAAGACTGGAAGAAACTTCTGGAATTTGATCAGCTACAGCTGCAGAAATCAAATGGAAAAGTAAGTTGTACTTTTACCATGTTTTTAACAGCCCGGGATATGGAAACCCATCTACTAAACATACATGCTGGTGTTCAGCAATGAAATTCCACTTGCAGTGTTTCTGATGTTAGAAACATGTGGAGCTTGTGAAGATAAAGCGAAACAGGTGCCTCCATTCCCGCACACTCTGTCTTGCCTTAAACGGGCTCTGACTGGCTGCATACAGGGTCCAGGCATCTTCCCAGGGCCTGAGAAGCCATCATGCACAAAAGCCACCGGAGAGCACGTAGTCCAGCAGCAGGAGGCCAGCCTGGGTCTCATCAGGGAGCAGCTTTGCTGAGTCATGGCTGCCTTCAAGTGGCCCTGATGTCAGCATCTGAGCGTGGCACCCTGGGGGATATCAAGTGCTGGTGTGTACAGGTCTCTGTACACCAAGTCCACCCCATGCCTCATGCTCATGTGCAGTGTTTTTAGAGACAGACAGAATAAACTACCAAGCGACACTTTGGACTGTGTTCAAAATTTGGTGATGTCTCTATTTCTTGGTGGAAGTGCTGATAAATTATAGTAGTACTTTAGACACCAGTTTGTACATGTAATCCTCAAAACTGCCTGATAGTGCTGGGGATATAGCTCAGTGGCACAAGCGCCTACCTGGCAAGTGCAAGGTCCTGAGTTTAATTCCTGGTACCAAAAAAAAAAAAAAAAAAAATCATGAGTCAAAATACTGCCTTATAAATTAAGTGTTATAACCTTTTATTGACAAAGAAAACTGAGCACAAAGTCAAGTTACTAATCCAGGGTGACACAGCCAGTGCATAGGGCTATGATTTGGCTCTGGACTGCCTAGCTGCGGGGCTCAGGCGTGGCCTGCAGGTCCAAGGACAGGTGTCTAAGGACTCCTGAGGCCATGGACTAAGTAGGAAAGGTTCAGCTATGGAATCTATCGCTAGCTCTTCAAGGTCCTAGCAGCCAGCTTCCAGATGTCCTGATTACCCTCCCCTCCAGCTAGCACTGTGCCTAGTTTCAGCATCTGTGAGCATCCCAGGATGGGCTGAGGCACACCCTACCTTTGGAGAACAGAGCAGGTTAGATGCATGAGGCCAGGAAGCTAAGGTCCCTTTCCAAAAGCAAGGGTGAGACCTTCTGTCACCCAGCCCAGCTAACGTAGGGGTCATGGAGCATGCCCAGAATGTCAAAGGCAACAGATGTCCTAGAAAAGGTTCTCCCTGCCCCATTCTTCCCCCATCTCCCTTGGTACTTGGAAGGCAGTGGACCTGTGCTCCTGGGCTTGCCCACAGCGCAGGTCCCAGGCTATGTCAGCTGCAGTCAGCTTGAGCTGCTCCAGGTGTGCCGGGGTGGACGGGGCACAGATGAGCACAGGGTCTCAGGCCCACACCCTTCTCTCTTCTGGGGGATGACAGCATGTGGTGGCTGGGGTGGGGGGGCCCGGGTGCTGCATCTGTGGGATGAGTACAAAAACGTCTTTTCTTTGCTAACTAAAAGGCACACCTCTGTCCAGTGTAAGACTAGTTAGAACTGTAACATAGATACATAGATTCTGTTGCTCTTTCAGGACTAGAACACTCTGGAATGCACCTCTTCTTCCCCTTATGGTGAAGTTGTGACTTTTTTCCCAATAGATTTTTAAAGACTTTCACGAAGGAGCCATTAATTTTGGACCCACCTACAAATATGATGTTGGCTCCGCTGCCTACGACACAAGCGACAAATGCCGCACCCCAGCCTGGACAGACAGGGTGCTGTGGTGGAGGAAGAAGCACCCTTTTGATAAAACAGGTGAGTGAGGCAGGCGTGCTGCAGAGCGGGGTGGGTGCATGCTGCAGCCACCGAGGGAACAGAACCGGTGGCTCAGCCCAGTGCTCAGCGGCCGTCTTCCTGATAACTCAGATGATGAAAGATTGCTGCAGACGTGAAGCGCTTTGGGAACTGCTTTGAGGGAGTCCCTTCTGGCCTCTGGAGACTGTGACCTGTCAGCAGGCCTGGCCCAGCTTTCCCCATCTCTGAATCACAGTTGCTTCACCCCTTGTCTTTTATTTTGAGGGAAGGAAGAAAAAAATCAAGGTGCCTATCTCTTTCCCACTCCGTATTTTTTCCAGTCCATTTTGTTCAGCCAAACTCTCATCTGCTTAAGGCTCCAATTCCAAACTGAGCAGGAGCAAATCACAGTAAAAATGAGATTTTTTTTTTTTTTTTTTTTGATCCATTGGTCGTCAAGTTTGTTTTGAACAATTATGAAGGTCCAGCTGGAAAGTGAAGTTCGGACGCCATAAGCTAGTACATAAACAGTGCCATGGCTTGAGAGCGGTGTCTGCTGAGAATTCAAAGCCAGAATACATCTGCCGATAAATGCTCCTTCAGATGGCTTTGTGAGCATCTCCACAGCCCAGAGTATGCAGAGGCACGGGCCAGAAGGAGTTCTGGCTTCCAAGGCTCAGCACCTGCCACTGTGTGAATGGCTCATGTGCCTGTCATTCCTGGGCCCTCAGTGAAAACAGCAGGGACAGCTGTATTCCAGGCCACAGTTAGCCCTCCAGGGGGGGTGGCCCGTGGTCATGTTCATGACTGTTCTGGGTAATCTTCAAGTAAGAAACTGCTTTAGCCCAGGCCCCAAGGCAACTGACGCCCAGGTTCAAGCTGCAGGGGCTAAAGCCCGTGAGCCTGAGCCACAAGGTGGTTTGGGAGAGAGCTCTCGGCTAAAACATTCATAACCACATTTGTGTGTATTGATACGGTTTTGTGTTACATGTGTGTCTCTTGAATGAACTCCTGTGCGTAGCTGGAGAACTCAACCTTCTAGACAACGATCTGGACAGTGATACCAAAGTCAGGCACACCTGGTCTCCCGGCACCCTCAGGTACTATGGTCGCGCAGAGCTGCAAGCATCTGATCACAGGTACGGTCCGTGCTGGGAAAGGCAGTGTCTCCTCTAACCCCAAAGGAAGCCAAGATGCTACCCCTATAAGGGTGTGTGGTGTGTGTGTGTTGGGTGTGTGTGTGTGTGTTGGGTGTGTGTGTAAGATATACTACTGAACACAGAAGGATACAACAAATATCTGTGTAACCATTGAGAACTAATACTTTTGGCATTTTCTCTTCACTCTGTATCATAAATACAAAGATAAAACTGCTACTGTTTTATGGTTTTAAATATTCTTAAATGATCTTCCTGCATAGCCTGGCTTTCTTTTTAGTGTTTTCAAGATACAGTCATGTTGGTATTAGCGATCAGGCTCACTTATTTGTGACTGCTGCCCACCATTCCACTGAGCAGATCCATGGAGTTTACCCATTCACTGACTGATGAATATTTTGTCTAGTGTTTTGTTATTACAAACGCCGTACCATTCCCCATCTAGGATTCAGGGATGTCACATACTCGACGTTACTGCTCCAGCCTCGGGGACCACACACCGAGAATGGGAGGAGGCAGTGTACCATGAGGACAGTGATCTAGTGACAGCTGTGGAACCTCTTGCAGGGGACACCAGTAGGTGGCCTTTGCGGGGAGATAAGGAAGAGTTTCCTCTTCCTATGGCTTCTACCAAAACTATTACAATTTCAACTCCTTCAAGGAAAGGAATAGAGAAAGAAGGTGGTGAGCAACAACTGGTCAGCTCACAGTAGGTCTAGATCTTTAGAGACCTGTTATGGTTGATACATTGTATCTACTTGGGGAGTCTAGAGGTTTGGCTAAGTGACTCAGCAGGAAGCCAGGGTGCTTACTTTGTATACATCCTGAGCCTGTGCAAGAGGAGGGCATGGAGATTATGTGAGAGCTACACGCCCCTTAGGTGGGGGTAGCCTGCTTACAATGTAAGGAGGGAAAGAGGCTGCTTGCCGCCATTCCTCCCTTTTGCTCTGGCTGCTTTGCCATTTGGCTGCAGTCCCCCCCTTTGCTCTTGTTGCTTTGCTATCTTCTGCCTCAGAGCCAGCCAAGTATGGACTGAAACCTCCACAAACTGTAAGCTAAATAAATCTTTCCTTCCCTAATTTTGGGCATTGGGTATTTTGTCTCAGCAACAATAGAAAAGTAACCAAGACAAGACCTATAAATTTTTAGCTGCCTGTTGTTGCTAGAACACCCAAGACATGTACCTTACAAATCTTCTAATGTATGACTTCAAGCTTTGCTAGTTGGAGGAATACAGCTAAAACCATTACCTAACCAGCATCTATTGAGATCTTATGTGCTAGCTCTGTTCCTTAATCTCTGCAAAACACACAAGATCATGGTCTCGTGGAATTTTCCAGAAGAGACAAATAATATAAATGCAGTAAGCGCTGCTTTCTCCTCACTGTTCAGGCTTCTGCCTAGATGACCTCAGAGCAACACCTGACAGGAATGTGGCTGTGCAGACGGTGTTCTCAGTGGGCACGTGCCTGTCACCACCAAGGAGCCGAAGAGGACAGAGAGGCTGGAGCAGAGAGGGAGGGGGAAAGCCACAGAGTTGAGGCGAGCAGGAGCCCAGGCCTTATGTTGCCCTGTAGGTGGGCTGTACGCTCAATTGAGGAGGGGCTTTCAGTAGAACCTCCTGAAAAGACTCCAGTAGGGCAAGGGTGGGAGCAAGGAGCCAGGCAGCAGCCATCACAGTAAGCAGGGAAGAAGCACTGGTGGCTTTGGAGAGGGGCCCAGGGTCCTGGTGGCAGGGTGTGGTGGAGGTGTCCTGGTTGCTGCCTGTGTCAGGAGTCCGCTCCTTGTCATTACTGAGTGAGTAGGAGCTGCCTGCCTCAGCTATTCCTGGTTAGCACTGGCCACACCTGGGGCAGAACTCGCTCAGTGTGTGTCCCTGTGTAAGAGTTTTCTCAGGCTCTTTTTTCTTGCCCTACATGAAAAAAAAAAGTAATGACATTACCCTCTCCTCCCGGTCTCTTAAGTTTTGCAGTTTTCTCTGGTTTTCATGGGTACCACCTTTTACCATGGCTATTTTTTAGATGTAGTCTGCCTGCGTTGCCCAGGCCTTGAATTCCTCGGCTCAAGTGATCCTAACCTCTGCTTCCCTATTAGCTGTGACTATGGGTGTGTGCCACCTGGAAATAAATCCTTTTTTTTTCCTGGTGCTGGGCCTCAAACCCAGATCCTGGCTAGGCAAGTGTTTACAACCATGCTCTACCTCGTCCCTGTCACCGCATTACATATCACTTCAAATTATGTTTTATTGCCACTTAACATGGTATTATAAATCTTTAATAAAATTACATCACTCTCATCATAATTCATAACCTTCAGCGTTACTTCCTGGTTTTCCTGTGTGTGTGTATGTATGTCAGACAGATTTCGGCATTACTCTCAGTGACTGTGCAGCATATTACCTACGGGTACATTGTGACTCTTTCCCTACTAGGAAACAATTACATCGTTTCCCTTTTCCCCTCCCATCGACAGTGCTGTGAACAGTCAAGCTTTGTCTGAATCTTTGGCCAATTCCGTAGAAAAAAGTCCTAGATATGAGATTACTAATGCAAAAGAGATATCTGGTTGTGAGATTCTTTTTCCAAGTTGCCAGGTAGCTCTGTGAATGATGATTCTGGATGATCAGTGGGGTGGCTGCTATCCCACTCCCTGACACCAGCAGGACTAGGGATTGCAAAGTAAGAGATCTTGGCTGATGGCTGGGGATTTTCTAATAGTGAATTCCATTGTTGAAGTACTGTACATCCTTAGATAAAAATGCTACAGTAACACAAAACCAAACCCGGGATAGGGCAGCCAGCCTGTGGACTCACGAGTGGATGTCAGTGTTCATGGCACTGCTCTGAGGCACAGGGGACCAGGCCTGGCCACCGGGACGTGACACTGCTGCTGGGGCTAACCATTCTCTGCCCTCTCCCCGTGTCTGATGCAGACCTGTGCTGGCCATCGTGGAGGTGGAGGTGCAAGAAGTCGACGTGGGTGCTCGGGAGAGGGTTTTCCAGGAAGTGTCCTCTTTCCAGGGCCCTCTGGATGCCACTGTTGTTGTAAACCTTCAGTCGCCAACCCTGGAAGAGAAGAATGAGTTTCCCGAGGACCTGCGTACTGAACTCATGCAGACCTTGGGGAACTACGGGACAATCGTGCTTGTCAGGTAACCGCCGCCAATTAGAGGTGGTCTGGGGAGTATCCAGTGTGGGCTTAGGGGTGTCGGCAGTCATGAGAGCTGCTGAGGCCTTCCTGGCGCTGACCTGACCTATCTTACGTATTTCAGGATCAACCAGGGGCAGATGCTGGTGACTTTTGCAGACAGTCACTCAGCTCTCAGTGTCCTGGATGTAGATGGTATGAAGGTAAGTGGCCTTGGAGTTACCACTTGGTCACGGCCTGGACCTGACCCATCTCTACTGTCCTGTGGCCATGTCTTCCCCTCTCCTCAGGATCTGTGTCTTTTTCTTTTTCTTTTTACTCCATGTACGAGGGATTGAAACCAGAGCTTTCAAACTGAACTGTATCCCCAACCTTTTTTGATTACCAGGTCTTGCAAAGTAGCTAAGTTTTCCAGACTGGGCTCAAATTGGTGATCCTCCTGCCTCAGCCTCCCAGAGTTCTGGGATTATAGGCAGACACCACTGGAGAAGAAGCTGAGATTCTCTGTTCTATTTCTCCAGTGCCTCAGAGCCAGCCCTAGAGACACGCAGAATCTGGGGGATCTAAGAGCGAACTTAGGGTGTGGCTCCTGCTGGCGTGTCCTGACTCACACCTCTGAGCACAACAGGGTCCATCTTGAGGCTGCGTTTCAGAACGTGCAGCTTATATTTAGTTTCTGGGATTTTTTTTGTGGTTGTTGTTTCTGGTTTTTTTCCCCTTTACTCTTTAAAATGAAATTTTATTTCAAAGCTATGAAGTAGTGAAAGAAGAAAGTAGAATCACCAGGCATGACCTACTTGTTCTTCAAAGAACAGTGAAGGGAAATTGGAGCCAAAACAGGGTTAGTAAGATCAAGGCAGGGCTTTTCCAGTTTGAATAAACTTGCTGCTGTTTTAGGCCAGTATTTCTATGGCCTATTTGTCTCCCTTAGTTTTTGTGTCTCTGTCTGCTTTGATGTTCCTTCTCTTCTCCCCAGCCCTCCGGTAGAGGGATTTCCACGTCCTCCTCCATGCTTGATCCTTGGTGATTGGTCTGGGGCCCTTCATTTGCCCCTCTGGAGCCACTCTGCTTTTCTACCTGCTCTCAGCCCTAGAAGCCTGCCCTGCACCCACCCTAGCAGCAGGCATCCTTGGCCTTCCGTTTCTTTTGAGTTGGGCCAATAGAAGAAAAAGAGAAGAGAGAGGTTGGAGCATTTATTCCCGCAGCTCCTAATCTGCCAGGTCACCTCAGTTTGGCTGAGTTGACTGAAGATCACCTCTACTCTCGTGATCTTCGGGGACCTCCTCCTCTGGGTCTGGTAGCAACTTCCTCTCCTGTCCCTTCCAGAGTTTGTAAAGGTTTCAGTCGTTAGCCAGCTGGCTCCCAGGCATGGCAGCGTGCCAGAGGAGAGGCCGTCCACGGCAGGGGAGGCAGAAGGCAGCAACAGCAAGCAGCGAGCGATGAAGCCGCTGGCCTCCCTTTCCCTTTTATCCTATCCAGGTTACAGGTCTTTGGGGTGGTGCCTCTAACACCCAGGGTGGGGCTTCTAAATATCCAGACCCAGAGCTATGCTATTTCCTATCGGTGGACTGATCTAATACCACACACCCTTAATCCCAGTATCACACACCCTAGATCCAGATCTATACCCTAGAAAAGCCCCACGTCTGAGTCCATGAGGCTTTGCGGGGAACAGTTAGATACAAGCCATAATGTTCTGCTCTGGCCCCCAAAATGCACATTCCTTTATGCAGAAGGCATTTACCCATCTCTCAGAGCTGCTGAAAAGTCCAAATCCAAATCTTCTCTGAAATTTAAGGCAAACTCTTAGCTATGAGCCCCCGTACAAATGTAAAGAAAGTTAAACACTTCCTATAGAGTCTGCTTTGATAAAACCTTGGTTTTAAATTTGCACAGAATGAAATGCTGGCGATGATGGTTCCGACTTTTCTGTAGACCAAATGTGTGGAGCTGTGCTGATCCTCCCTGGGGTCTGGACCCTCAGTTTTTGTTAGTAAAATGTGGAGGCAGCCTAGCACCTGTGCGTGGGCTGTATGTGGAGAAGCGCTTTGTGACCAAGGGGAGCTGCGGTGACCTTTATATTGTTCCCACTTGCTGTGGCACCCTCACAGGTGAAAGGCCGAGCAGTGAAGATCAGACCGAAGACAAAGGACTGGCTGAAAGGTTTGCGAGAGGAGCTCATTCGAAAACGGGACAGCATGGCCCCCGTATCTCCCACCGCCAATTCCTGTTTGCTGGAGGAAAACTTCGACTTCACGAGCTTGGACTATGAGTCAGAAGGTTAGTGACCTGCAGGAGAGGCAGGAAGCAGCTCTCTAGCAGTGGCAGGCAGTTTTGGAAGCCTCTCCTAATACCCTGCCTTCCAGAGGTGACAGCATGAACATCACATCCCATGGTTCCACGCACGCGTGTGCGGGATGGCGCAGGAAGCAGTAAAGGGACCCGGAGACATCCATTCCCACATTAACAATAGCCTTGAGGCTGTTGGGGATGTGGGGGTGAGTGGGAGAGCTGGATCTGGGGACATGCCTGCTGAGGGTGTGCCGTGGTGACCTGCCTGAAAGGCTGGGCTGTTGAACTGGAATTGTTTTCACTCTCACCGTGATACGTTCCTCCTCCAGGGGATGTTCTAGAAGATGACGAAGACTATTTAGTGGATGAGCTCGGGCAGCCTGTGGTCTCAGACAGTGAGCTGGGGGGAGACGACCCTCCTGATGCCCCCAGCTTCACAGCAGTGGCACCTGCCAGCAAGTCACCTGCCCTGACCAAAAAGAAGCAGCATCCGACGTACAAAGGTAGTTCAGCCCTCCTTTTCTCACTAGGGTTGGAACAGAGAGTCCTTCCGTCCATCACAGGGGCATGCGAGTCCCGGAGAGGCCCAGCTGGGAAGGCATAGAAGGGTAGCACCAGGCTCTAGGCAAGACTCGAGTGCCACATGCCGATTTACACTGGGTTTTTCATTTCTTTTCTACTTCTTATACCCCCCTATAATACTGCATTCCTCTTTCCTGTGTGTATTCAAGTGACCACAGTCTCGACTGGTTTTACATTTGTGACATTTTTTTCCTCTAAAACTTTTCTAATTCAATTCCTTACGAGATATTCAATATCTATATCCCCATGCATTATTTCATTCACATAATACTGTATTTTATGCCGTCATATTGTACAGTGGCCCCCACTATATCCTTTTAGCCTTAAAAGGAGCTAAAAAGTCATATGGCATGAACTGAATAACCTTGGTATTCTTTTGAGTAAGCTTGAAAATTGAACAGCTTTACATGGAAAGTAAAGTAGTTCACATTTCAGCTTTAGACTAAATTGATGCTGTTCCATCCAAAAATGCCCCCTGCCATCGCTCAGTGTCACCAGCAGGGGCAAGGGTTCAGCGTGTCTCTTTCAGCTGGGACTAGGGCAGAGGACAGGACTGAAAGTGCATTCAGTGCTTCTCGGGGAGAAGGCCTTGCTGGGAGAGGTACACGGACCACCATGCCCCTTGGACCATATAACAGTCTGCAACCCAACCTGTAGCTTGCCTGTCTGGAACCATCTGCAGCCTCCAGATTTAGGGATTGCCGATCCCTGCCTTAAGGCATTGGGTTGGGCAGGGGTGGGATGGGCCGCTGACATCTGGTATTTCATGAAGCTCCCTGGGTGAGTGCGATGCACAGCTAGGTTTGGGGGTGCTGCCCGGGGCAAGAGCAGCAGCCTCCATCAGAGTGTTGGGGCTGCTCTGTGTGTTCCCACACAGGGCTCCAGCCCTGGCATGGAAGTGGCGGGTGGCCTGAGGCAGCCTTTCTCCAGGGTGGCCTTCATCAGGCCGCCTCTGGGGACCAGGACGGCCAATAGTGCAAATGTCTCCTGAAGGCAGAAACTGATAGAGCAACAGGGCTCTGGGCCAAGCCTGGCCTCTCATGAACATCAAGAGGGGATCTTCTCGATGCTGTGGGGTATTCAGCCATTCCTGCAAGAAGGAATCCTTCTGTCTCCCCTGTTCCAGGCCCTGGATACTACGTGAGGCTGACCAGTTGGATTTGAGGAGCAGGGTGGCTGAGCCAAGATGAAGTGAAAAGGGCTATGTTGTCACGTGGGAAAGCAGACCTATCACTGTCCTGGGTTTATATGTTAGAGAACAGAAACAAGCATCTACAAGTGTCCCTTTGGGCCTCTTAGAAGGGATTGTGAAGCCCAGCATGGTGGTACACACCTGTAATCCCACCACGGGGGAGGCTGAGGCAGGAGGATTGTGGTGCTCAGGGCCATTCACAGTGGCACTCAGGAGGTGGCTGGCAGAGCTTGCCACTGGAGAGGACTGGTGTAAGGGGGAGAATATGCTCAACTTCCAACACAGTGGTCACATTTTAGAGTGAGGAATTAACCATTTGTCTTCCCCATGGGCTGAGGACTCTTTAGGGGTTGTGGTTTCCACTGTCTCCGCTGTGGAAGTCCAGTTGATAACACCAAAAGGAAACAGGCCTTGCACACGGTTTACCCAGTGTTCCAAGCAGGCATCAGGCCCCCCACCCGAGCAGAAAGGGTTGCTGTCCCCATCCTGGCCCTTGGCTGTCCCGCAGCAGCTCTGCCTGCCGCGCTTGCTTCCCTGCAGACCGAGGTCCCACCCTCGTGTTTGGAAAAGACTATCTTACTCACACCTGCCGTGTCCTCCAGACGATGCTGACCTGGTGGAGTTAAAGCAGGAGCTGGAAGCCGTTGGGGATTTCCGCCACCGTTCTCCGAGCAGGTCTCTATCAGTCCCCAATAGGCCGCGGCCACCTCACCCGCCGCAGAGGCCGCCGCCTCCAAGTAAGACTCCGCTCGCTTGCACTGTTGCCACGATGCCTGCCGGGAATAACTGCGCAGCTCCTGCTACTAAACAAGGGACGCTAAACAGGCCTCTTCCGCCCCTGAGCCCCACCATGTGCTTTTCCTCGCCAGGCCCTCCTCTTTGTCTCAAATCCACGACGTATTTGATAGCAGAAGTATCAGGGGTTTCCCATGTAGATCAAGCAAGTCGAGTCCTTACACAGCTTTGCTTTGCCTGCAGCTGTCTTCGCTCGGAAACCTGTAAGATGATAGCTGGAGCCGCCGGCTCCGCACGGGATTCCTCTAGCTGGTCAGGGTCCGCCTCTTCCTTCCTTGACTGCACCCAGCTCTGCTGCTTAGGAGTCTGGTCAGCACAGGTCCCTATCATGCAAGTCTCTAACCCAGTCACAGTGCCCACCTCAGAATGAGCCTTGCCCTGCTCTGCCCTAGCCTGGGTCTCATAGCCTCATTTTCTTCTGGCACCTCAGACAATGTTTATTCTGTCAAACCTGCCTTAGTAACCAGAAAGTAAAGTTGCAACACACTTTTCATCAGTTTCTATTTTATCACTCCAGTTCACTTCTCCCCCTCAAAAACGCTACAGTCAGACATCATCAGTTTTCCTACACCATGACTTTCAGAATTGCATTCACTGTGCATAACATCCCAGTAATAATCTATGGCAAGCCAAGAAGCACATAACTTTTTGAAGCATACTTTTGCTTTTTTGAACTTATACTCAGAAAGTAAAAGAAAATATAATGCAAAAGTAGCAAAAATGAAATTTAGCTCAGCTTGGTGGTATACTCCTGTAATCTCAGCTGTTTGGGAGGCTGAGGCAGGAGTGTCACAGGTTCAAACTAGCATGAGAAAATGAGACCCTTTTGTAAAATAAAAACTTTTAACAGGTCTGTGGAAATAGCTCAGTGGTAGAGCATTTGCCTAATATATGCTTAAATTCTTGGGTTCAATCCCTAGTACTACAAAAATTTTTAAAATAAAATTTATTTTGTTAGCATATATGCATTTACAGAAATTCACAGATAGGTACACTTAAAATGTATGTATTTCACTGTACCAGTATGTAAATTCATGTCAGTTTTTATTTTAGATTAGTACATGTGTATAGTACATAGCATTTACATTCCTTGTGGGAAGTTGGCTCATGTACATAACACATCTTACTCCTTTTTTTATCCCCTCCCCTCCCCTTCCTCCTCCCTCCCCCTCCCTTTCCTCTCCCTCTTCCCTCCCCTTCCATCCATCCCTTGCTCCCCTTCTTTTCCTTATCTTCTTTGAACATGCTCGCAGTAATACTGACATTCCCTGTGTGGAGTTGTTCACATAACACATCCCAATTCCATTTTTCATCCCGTCTCTGCACCCCCCCAACTCTTGACCCCTTCCCAGCAGAGAACAGTCTATCTCCCTACTTCCTGTTATCTATTTATCTTGCTCTTTTAAACTGCAATGTATAATTCACATTGTGAAGATTTTTATAGAGAACTATACAGAAAAACCAATTTTAAAATTTACTTGACTACCTCCAAATAATAGTTGTTCACCAAAAAACTTCTAGCCTTTATCTGGTTGCATATATCTATATCTACACATAGTTTTCAAAAATTTGATAAAATTGATACCCATTTTGTGGGGTCATTTGTCTTTCACTTGATGTGTCATGTTTTCTGTGTCGTTAAAAATTCTCAAACATGACTTGATGGCTACCAGCATAATATAACATTGTTTGTTTGGGTTTTTAAAAAATTGCTTTGGGTTTTTTTTTTAATTGTTTCCCCCCCAAATTTTTTTTAAAAATTTGGTTCTAATAGTAGTGTGTTTTAAAAAGTGTTTTAAATCACTTAAAAATCAATTAACTTTTATATCAGATTAGAATCCCCAGGGTGTTAGATTTAAATGTGCCCTCAATTCATGCTTCTCCAGAGGATCCGTTAGTAGGCCCAGCCACTAGAGACTCTAGAGAAACTTGGGGGGTGGGCACAGTACTGGAGTGGAGCCCAGGGACTCCTGCATGCTCGCTGAGCACCCTACCTCTGAGTTGTACCCCAGCTCCGGGAGAACCTTCAGCGTCTGTCTGCACGGCCACTTCCTGCAGCATCTTGCAGCTGGCAGGCCAGCTATGGCATTGCTACTGCTGAGATTCTGCCCTCATTGGGTTTTTACAGCTGGTTTGATGGTAAAGAAGTCGGCTTCAGATGTGTCCATCTCCTCCGGCACACATGGGCAGTACTCAATTTTGCAGACAGCAAAACCTCTGCCGGGAGCACCTCAACAGCCGGTGAGTCCCTGTGTTCAGTGCTGAGGAAGCAGTCTTCATTTCACAGCTGAAGGGCCCAATCCAGAGGCCACACGGGAGTGCATCTTCTCGGGTACCACATCCTCCCTGGATTCTGTGTCTTGCAGACCTCATCTGCCCAACCCCTATGCTGACTGGCAGCCCCTATGCAGGTTGGGAAGTGGTTCTAGCAAAGCAGGCTTGGATGAATGATCCCCAGGACCTTGCAGGGCAGGAGTGCTGACTTCCAGGTGCCTCCGTTTCTGTCCTTCCAAGTCTGGCTTTTGCCCTTCATCTACAGAACATTGATCGGTAGAAGGGAAAACAGAAGGAATTCAGATCAGTCAATAAAATGATGGTCATGATTAGCTAGAGAAGAGGCTAAAGAGAGACCTCCTGAACCTAAAGAATGGAGTGGAAGAGGCAGAGGACAGCAGAGGCAGGGGTGGGGACACAGGAACTCAGGGAGGAGGTGGAGGGCAGGGAAGCCCGGTGCTGCTGGGACAGCAGACACACCCTGGAGAGCTGGCCCAGGCAGGTGCCCGCAGTCATGGCAGGTGAAGTGGTCAACCAGATGCCTGTTGTCTACAGTGATGAGGGCAGATCCTCAGAGACACCTGAGACAGGTTGAGGAGGTAGAAAATGCACTTTTAAGGAAAATGTATTTGGACGATATTTCAATACTTCCAGGCCATGAAAGGTGTGGCTCTGATTCCGAGGTCTGGCTTTTATCTGGTTGCTGAAATAAAGATAGAAGGTGGGTTTGCCCACACTGCAAAAACCTGTTATCCCCTCGTTTGGGAGACGCAGGCCATCTTTGCATTCCTCCTGGAACGAGAGTGCCCCAAGGAGGGGGAAGTTGAGAGACAGACGTGCAGGAGACTCTGTGTGTTTTTGTCACCCTTGGATGAGACTCTGCACCCCCCTGCACTCACATACCAACCACCCACCTGTGCAGACCTACAGGTGGGGAATGCGCCCCGAGGGCTGTCCTCCCGCCTGTGTTAATACCTTTCTCTTCCAAATTCTGTCCTCAAGCCCAAAGCTAGGACTGGAATAAGCAAACCTTACAATGTCAAGCAGATCAAAACCACCAATGCTCAGGAGGCAGAAGCAGCGATCCGATGTCTCCTGGAGGCCAGAGGAGGTAGGTGGGCTTCGGGGTTCTCCCCGCTGGCTGAGGAAGAAAACCAACTCCTTTTCATCCTAGAAAAAGTGGGCCTAGAAAAGAATGTGGCCTTTTTTTGGAGGCAGAATTAAATAGAAGTATCCTTTACCAATAGCTTATTTAGATTTATTGCCCATTTAAAGTTATTTCTTCAAAGTTCAATGGGTGCATAAAAATAATCCTAGGATTATGAAGCAGTATTTAAGGAAAAGTGAACAAATGAATGTTTTAAAAGGTTAATGTTGCAGGTACTAATTCATTCTGCCAGCTCCATTCAGAAGAGGCAACTGGGTTGTGTGTCTTTATGTCAGGCACAAAATCTCCATTGTCAGTCGCTGGCAAGTGTACATGAATTCTGTCCTGTCAGGCAGGGACCACCTCTCTGCCTCACTGCCTGTTAATTCTGACATTCATTGTTTTGGTATTGGCTTTGTTCCAGTATCTCTTTTCCTTAAAAAAAAAAAAAAAAAAAAAAAAAAAAGGTGAGATTATGCCCTTTGAAAAGGCATACACTAGCCAGGCATGGTGGTGCACCCCTATAATCCCAGCACTCAGGAGGCTGAGGCAGGAGGATCACTGTGAGTTTGAGACCAGCCTGGGCTACAAAGTGAGTTCAAGGCCAGCCTGAATTACATAGTGAGACCCTGTCTGAAAAGAGACCAAAAAAAAAAAAAAAGAAAGAAAGAAAGAAAGAAAGAAAAAGAAAAGGTATATGCAGTTACAATCATCTAATTTGCTTTTAGCCAGTGAATTTAAGCTACTTGGAATTCTCAAATAACATTTAAGGACAGCGTGAGTTAGAAGACTGAGAAACACTGTTGTAGGGTTATACACTATAGATTTTTTTTGTAATTAAAAAAAATAAAACTGTGGATGTAAGAACCCACTTGTCCAACTAATAAATAGATAAAATATGGTATATCAATACAATGGAACATTATTCAGCCATAAAAAGGAATTACTCATACGTGCTACATCGTGGATGAACTTTGAAAATGTCATAGTAGGACACAAAAGGTCACATACTTTATGATTCCCTTTACATGATGTATGCAGACTCCAAAAATCCATTAAATCGGAAAGCTGTTAGAGTCCAGGCTGAAAAAAGGAGGGAATGGGGAGCAACTGCTATAAATACGGAGTTTGCTTTTTGGTGTAATAGAAGTGTTCTGGAATTGGATAGTGGGAATGGCTGTGCAGTTTTGCACATACAGTGTATTAAAAGCCACTGAGTGGTATACTTAAAGTGGGTGAATTTTATAGTGTGAGACTCATATTTCAATAAAGCCATTATTTTTTAAAAGGCTCTAGAGATGGAGATGTTAGTAGTGGTTCGAGGTTTGAAATCTACCACAATCCCAGTTCAACATTTTCTTGATCTTGGGCCCATGCATGTGTTATATTGATGCATTAAATTTCTCCCCCAAGAAATGTAGTTATGCAGGAAGCGTTCTGTATGTATCCTGTCTCAGTGACCTCCCATCAAGCCCACTCATAGATCCCAGGTCCCCTACTGAGAAGGTGGAAAAGCAGGAGCTGGACATAGCCGCTTAGTCCAGACAATCCTTAGGGATTTTTGTTTTAAGAAAAAAAAAAAAAAATTACATTGAATCAGTAAGATATAAACTCGTCCAAACGTTAAATCATGCAGTGGATTGTCTCTTGTCCTCACACTGAGTCACAGGATTTTATGTCCCAGGCACCCTGGAAGAAGCTGTAAATGCTACGGCCCTGAGGGACCAAGGGTCCTCCAAACCAGAGCCCTCCCTGGGACCTCCACTCCTGCCCTGTCGGCCGGCACCCAGGGTTCCTGCCATCAAGAAGCCAACCTTAAGAAGGACAGGAAAGGTAAGAACCCAGTAGCCTGAGCGTCTTGACTCTAAAGTTACTTAAATGGCTCATTAGTTAAAATTATATCTCATGGACAAAAGTCCAGTTGAATTTGGTTTCTCCACCCACAATCCTGAGACCCAGGCTCAGCCGCATCTTTGAGGAAAACACTTCCTCCGACAGCCACTTTGTCCCTGGCCTCCCAGCTGCATCTTGGCACCAGCTGAGCAGGAGCAGCAAGCTGACTTCCACAGGTTCCCTGTGACAAGGGCAGCTTGGAGGGGCTGCGCTTCCTCGCTGGGGGATGCGCGCTCACACGTGGTCCAGAGCTCCCTTCCTGCGTGGTGTGTGTGGTGTGGTGTGCATGTGGTTTTACATGTACAGATCTCGTGTGTGTTAGATAATAACTGGTACCTGGGTTAGCAGATTTGCTCGCTCTCCTGCAGCTGCCGTCTGTGGAGGTCCCACAGCTCTCCTTGCCTTTTTTTGCAGATTGTTTTTTGCTCTCGCTCTCAAGCTTCTCAGCCTTGCTTGCTGCTTCAAAGACATGAGTTTGTAAGGACAGTAGCTGCCCAAAGACTGTCACCTATAGACACATCCGGATCTTCCGTTTGATCTCAGTTCTAGGAACGGGACGTTCGGTAATCCTCGCCTGGGCATTGCAGAATGCCTGCTGCTTTTCTGCCTGTGGACAGCGTGAGGTTGCTGTGCATGTCCCTCCTCGTGGGCTTGCTTTGTGTTTTCTGGGTGGCACTTGTCCCACGTTGGCTTACTGCCAGCTGTCCATTTTCCATGCCTTCTTGCAAAATGGACCTCCTTTGTCCTCTTTCCTGCACTCGCTTTGTCTTTGCTCTGAAACACAAAGAGCAGACAGAAATGGATTCATTTTCCCCAACCTGCTGCAAGTTGTTAGGGTACAGGGTTAGTGGAGAAGAGAATATGTTCTTCCTTTGTTCCTTAGTGAACCAGACAGAATACCGGAATACTAACTACTGATACGCACTTTCACACAAGAGCTTCCTTTCTCATTGTGTGGTTTTCTTTGGGATATTTTGAATTAAAACCAAGGAAGTGAAGCCCCTCTGTAGAGTTCTCCATTCTTCTATAGTTACATATGAAAGATTCAAGGTCAAAGTATATCCATTAGTCCTCCAGTTTGCTTCATGCTATGACATAAGTTACTTCACCCTACCGTGGTACAGACAATGAATTATCTGCCAAGCCCGCCACTCCAAGAATGTCTCCAGAGAAGTTTGCTTTGAATAAAGGAAGATGGCAACCCCATTCCCTAAGGTACCGGACACAGCTTTGTCTCAGATTACTTACTGAGGCCCCACTGGCCTTGCATTGGATTTGCTGGTCTGCCCAGTCGGGGTGTGTGTGTGTGTGTGTGTGTGTGTGCTCGCCCGCCCTGTGCTCTGTCCTGCCTGATCACGTTTCCAGTACCTCAGACATTCTCCATGCCCAAACGGGCAGAATGTCCACTCTGTCTCATTCATCTCTGATCCCTGCTGACCACTGAGTGTCTCTGTGACTTGGCGTCCCAAGCGCTGCCTCCCCACTTACCCTCTGTCTTCCCTTTCTCAGCCAGTGTCCCCGGAAGAGCAGCTTGAGCAGCACCCTGTCCATTTTATACTCGGACCCCCAGAGACAAGCCTTGAAACACCCCCTGCAGTGACAGCCACTCGAGTCCCTCCTGTTCCCAAGCCAAGAACATTTCAGCCCAGGAAAGGGGTGGAGAGGAGCTCGAGCAGCAGAAAGCCAGGACCAGACGAAGCTCCTCTCGTGGCAGGAGCCACTGTGCTGCCCTCTTCAGAGGTCCCATCTCTGGTGCCCAAGGTACCCCCAAGAAGGAAGAAATCTGCACCAGCGGCTTTCCACCTACAGATCCTGCAGAGCAACAGCCAGCTTCTTCAGGGCTTGCCAGGCAGCAGCAGTGCTGGGGGCAGCTCTTCACCCGGACCCCAGCCGGACCCCAGCGCACTCTTCCCGCAAGTGGATTTTCTAGGCACTTCATCTGCCCCAAGTCCCAAAACTAATGGCCCCAGGGTAATGAAGCCAGAGGCAGCCTCCCTTCTTGGTGATTGTCAGGACCCTTTCTGGGGCCTTCTCCACCACCCTAAACTGCTGAATAATGCCTGGCTTTCCAAGACCTCTAACCCTTTGGACCCCGCGGCCAGAAGCTCTGAGAGGGCACAGACAGACCCAGCACAGCTCAGCACTTCCGCTACCAAGGGGCAGCTGCTCCCAGACCATGGGGGAGAAATCTTTGGCCGCTGGGTGTCCATCAGTGACAAAGACAAGAGAACAACACTGCAGGTGTTTGACCCACTGGCAAAAACATGACCAATGGGCTTTGAAGATTCCCTGTAGAATTCTTCCCTTATAGACTGTGCTCAACTGGGTCAAAAAGACATTTATTTAAACAAAGGCACCATTTGTGAAAAACCATTTGTGCATCTATCCCTTTAAAAAAAAAAACAAATATTGTGTCTATTCTTCAATAAGATTATTATTCAGCCACCAAAATTTTCTGTAAGACTTGTGCATTTTAGGTTTGCTCTCAGGGGAATGGGATCCTCCTGTTAGAGGCAGTGTGTGTATTTTAAGGAAGGAAATTTAGCTGATAAGGCCCAAGTTCTCTTCTTTATGGTGAATCTTAAATGGTTGTTCACTTTGTGTGTGTATGTGGTGGGTTTTTGTTTGTTTTTAGCTTTCTTTGTATTTTACAGATTTGGAATAGCTCTTTGGTGAGGACTACCAAAAGGTTATGCATAAAGGATGACATTAAAAATGGGGACATTATGAGCTGTTACTGGCCTACTTTAAACCAGGTTTAGTTTTTGTTTGTTTGTTTTGTCTTTGTTTTTTTTGAGACAAGGTCCCACTATGTAGTTCAAGCTGGCCTTGAACTCACTATGTAGCCCAAGCTGGCCTTGAACTCGCAGCGATCCTCCCTCAGCCACCTGAGAGCTGTGATTACAGGAGTGTGCCACCATGCCCAGCTAAACCAGGATTAAAAAGTCAATTAGAAGCAGAAACTAGGTCAACCAAATGACTAGACCCTTAATTTCCTTGAGCCATTGTGTTTATTTATGCAGTCAGCCTTTCATATCTTCACACTCTGCAGTCACAGATTCCACCAACTGCTAATCAAAAATAAAACAACTGCATCTGTACTGAACATGTACAGACTTCTTGTCATTATTCCCTAGACATTATAGCGTAACAACTATTTGTACACCATTTATACGATATGTATTAGGGATTATAAGTCATCTAAAGATTTAAAATGTATGGGAAGAGATGCTTAGGCTATATGCAAATATGATGCTGTTTCATATAAGACTGGAACATCCAGATTTGGGTATTTAAGGGGATACTGGAACCAGTCCCCTTGAGATACTGAGGGATCCCTATACATGTGTGTAAACCTGGATTGTGTGTGGATCCTGTGGGAGCTGGGATCTTACATTGTTTAGGTTCTAAAGTATATACCATTAGCTTATGTTCAATTTAAATGCCCTGAAGACTCTGGTACTAGGTCTCAGACATTTCATACCTTATAAATAGCTGTAGTCTTGAGTTACAGGGTGTGCTTCTTCAACCAGTTTGTGTCCACCATCTCACCCTTATTAAATGAAGCCTCGTAGACTTTTCTTCTTCCCCTTAGATATTCCCTAAAGATACAGACTCATACAGGCACATAGTGTTTCCATTGTTATAATCTAAAGAGTGTTTGTTTTAGCCTCATCTACCTGGCCATGGCTTCAGGAACAAGTGTACTGTATGGCCCTATATATAAGGATTCCTGGGGCAGAACGTCTGAATTTGCTTACCTGTATGTTTATTGGGTTTTTTCCTAACATCTGCATTTTTCCTACATGTTTCCAATACCACTCCTTACCTAGTCAGGAATTGAAAACGGCATCACCATACCGCTTTACATAAGGTCTAGAATCAGCTTGGCAAGAGATATAGTATTTTGGCTAATAAGTTCACTGGCAAATCTTGTGCCTCTTGCCCTGTTTCAGAGTCTTTCATGAATGATGCCATATTGTCCTTCATGGACCTAGGGGAACTCCTGTCCGAAATGCTCATCATTGGTACGATCACCGTCATCTTGCCTAGGATACACCACTCTTTGGCACCAGTCAGACCTCTGGTGTTTCAGAATTCATTTTTACTGTCATTATCTAGATATATGACAAGGTACCTAAACCTGGTACTCAAAAACTCATATATCTCATTTAATCTGAAAATTGATAAAAGAAAAAGGAATTAATGATTCACTCAGATAACATGCATAAAAGATGGTTTAGGTGATGAATACCTTCTGTGGCACTTAATGTATTTTAAAGGATTATGTTGTTCACCTCTTGTGTTTGTTACAGAACTTTTTAAAAGATCATATAAAGAGTTGGGAGGGCCAAGATGGGTTGCTTGGAGAAGTAAAATGGACAAGATGGATATCTCAAGTAACAGGTATAATCAGGAATAGAACTGAAGATTTCTTTATTCAAATGCTCTTTTTTTCTATCCTCTCTTCCTGTATAAAAAGAGGATGTTTGCAGTGCTGGAAATAGGCCTAATTAGTAGGTCTCTTTGTTTTCAATAGCAAAACAAAAATGAATGGTACAGAGAACAGGATTCCATTATGATAGGCTCTCATAATACAAGTAGTACTTGAGAACCTGTCAGTAAATATTAACACATAATATTGTATTGGCAAGGTCAGTACAATTACAATGACAATGAGTTGAACAGTATCATAATGAGTTGAACAATAAAATTACAATGAATTGAACAAGTATTGCTTGGCACAGTGGTGCACTCCTATAATCCTAGCACTCGGGAGGCTGAGGCAGGAATATTGCTTGAAAGTTAAAGACCAACCTGAACAATATAGCAAGACTATCTCAAAAAGAACAAGCATTATTTCATCATGGATGTTCAGATTTAATGAACAACACAGGCTAGATTTTGACCAGAGTTTCTCTTAAAAATAAGAGGATAATTAGAACAGCTTCACCTGATTTTAAAATCAATGCTTACTAGTTTGAAGATTTCCCAAGTTAGTAGGAGTCCACTGAGGAACTTTACAGTGCAACACTGTCTCTGACCCCAATATAGTCCCTTTTACAATGTCATCTCAGACTTCTTGTCTGTTTTAAAAATTTGTTTTGATATGTGACTGAAACCAAGCAATTTCTATACAAGCTTAAAGTTGTCAAAGCTCAAGATATTTAACAAGATACTCCTGGACATGTATATGAGTATAAGTCAAGTACTCAATTGCAGCTTTCATTTTATAATGAAGTCATTTTGGGCAAGGAAAGCTGCAGAGATTATTTATTGGGGTGGTTAATTAAATACCTGTAATGTTTTGGAAGTGATATTTGTACCCATGTTATACAGACTGTGTATTAAATATTTGTATTTTTAAAAATTGGTCTTATTTCTTTTCAGATGTGAAGAGAACTTTGGAATATCATCCCAAGCTAGCCTCTGTTCTGGATCAAATGCAATTGCTAGTTATTTATCTGCGTGAGTTTTGGTTTTGAGTTGTTTTTTTTAAAAAAAAAAACAACACTATATTAAGTTGAAAAAAAAGTAATAGGTTAAGAATTTTTGACTTTGAAGCTCATTGCCATTGCATAGTAGCTGTATGCTACACTATAAGACTTCCAAGAATTCATTTTCTGTAGGATCTTAGAGCAAACATAAACTTTGAGCTGTGGAAGAGGTTGAAGTATGTGACTGCATAGAGGCAGAAGAGAGCACCTGTGTCTTGGTTACTTTTCTCTTGTTGCTGGGACAAATTACCTGATGCCCAAAATTAAGGAAGGAAAGGTTTATTTTGCTTACAGTTTGTGGAGGTTTTAGTCCATACTTGGCAGATTACAAGGCAGACTGGCACCTGGCAGAGAGCTACAGCTCATGGCGGCAGAACACAGCAAAAGCAACAAGCACACACACAAGGGAGGAAAATGGCCAGAAGCACAAAAGCCAGGAAATGGCCCCAAGAACCCTCTAGCTCTCCCTTACATATGTAAACTATCCACCCCAGGGCGAGTGCAGCTCTCACACCCATCAATCAATCAGACTCTAAAAGCCTGCCCCATGGCCACATGAGGCTTTGGGGGGACACCCAGATACAAACCATAACAACCTGTTCTTCAAGTTCTATCAGATTTGTTCTAAGCTAATTAATACACAAAGTATAGATCATAATGTTCTTTTATTTTTCAGGAATATGAATATACTGATCTCTAGTAAATACGGTTAGTCCTTCCTGACCAGTATTTCTTCGTGCATCAAATTTGCTTAATCTGAGTGTGCCACCCCGCGGCGAGGGTGAGGAATAAGGAAACGGGTGGGTGCTGAGCCGGCCTTGCCCAGAGAGTGGGGAAGTCTGGCTTAACACTCACTCTCATCGCAGGCAAAGTATTTGCTTGTGTCTCTGTGTGATAAGGAGAGTGCAGATGAGAGATTGCCAACAGAGGGTTAGGGAAGATTTGGAGAAAAGTGTTGAGAATTTCTAACAGTTTATTTAATACATTTTATGTTTTAGAGCAATTTTAGGTTGACAGCAAAATTGAGCAAAAATAGAGTTCCCGTATGTCCCCTTCGCCCCCACACACAGGCTCTGCTGTCATGAACATCTTGCACCAGAATGGTACATTTGTTACAACCTGTGAGCCCATACAGACGCGTCATTGTCACCACAGGCCGGGATTACATAGTTTCATTACATAGTTTCCTTTCGCTCTTGGTGGCTTGTCTAAGGGTTTGGACAAGTGGATCTGCTACCATATCTCACAGAGCAGCTTCATTGCCCCAAAACTCCTCTGCTCTACCTTGCATCCCTCCCCCAGCCAGCCTCATTCCAGCCACCATGTATTTTTTATTGTCTCCATGGTTGTGACCTTTCCAGAATGTCACAGAGTTGGAATCACACACTATGTAGAATTCTCATAGTGGCTTCTTTGACTTGAAATAGATTTATATTTCCTTCACATCTTTCATGAGGTGGCACCTCATTTCTTTTTAGTACTGAATAATACTGCACTGTCTGGATGTACTATAGTTTATTTACTACTCAAGGACATCTTGGTTGCTGCCAAGTTTTATCAGTTATGAAAAAAGCTGCTATAAATATCAATGCGTAGGTTTTTGTGTACACATGTTTTCAAAATACTAAATATGCAGTTGCTGGATCATTTGATAAGAGCATGTTTTATAAGAAACTGCCTTCCAGCCAGGTGTGGTGACACATACCTATAATCCCAGAACTCTGGGAAGCTAAGGCAGGAAGATAGCACATTCAAACCTAGCATGGCCAATTTAGCAAGACCCTGTCTTCATAATAAAAAAAATTTTAAAGTGCTAGAGATTTAACTTAGTGGAAAGGTCCAGGGTTCAGTTCCTTATACCACCAAAACAAACAAAAACCCTGCCTCCCAAAGTGGCCGTACCATTTGGTATTCCCACCAACAATGAATGAGAGTTCCTGTTGCTCCACACTCTTGTCAGCACTTGGTATTGTATTTCTGGACTTGGGGTATTCTAATAGGTATATAATGCAATCTTCTTTTAATATATAATTCCCTAAAGACATATGATCTTGAACATCTTTTCAAATACCTGTGCAACATGTGCCTGTAATCCCAGCATTCAGGAGGCTGAGGAAGGAGGGGCACCATTACTTTCAGGCCAGCCTGGGCTACATAGTGAGTTCAAGGCCAGCCTAAATTACACAGCAAGACCCTGTCTCAAAAAAATTTCTTTTTAAGTTTTTAAAAATCAAATATT